ATGCGCTTGTCTATGGGCTTGCTGAGGTCGGCAGCCTGAAGGGAGAAACCAAGAACCAGATGAAGTGAGCACGGTTACTTTAACGTACAGAATGTGTTTATGCACTTTTCCTGAAAAGAGAAACTCATCTAAAACTCACTGATACTGAATTCAGATGAGCCGACAGGAATATGAACCTTCTATTGAGTGTTTTGTAACCCCTTGTAAACAAGAAGTGACATCTGAACTCAACACAGCATTTTTGAGGAAACAAAACAAATAGCTGGCATTCCCCAAATAAAATGTGGAAGAACTCGAGAACAAAAGGTACGCCTTTCCCCTGAAGATGGATACATGCTAGTCATTTTGTTGTATGATGTAGAGATTGTTTAAGTCAAGTCAAAGTCAACTTTATTGTCAATTTCAAAATATGCCAGATATACAGTGGAATCGAAATTTCGTTTGTCTCCGTCCCGCGGTGCAATACGACCAAAATAAGGTAAAATAAGATAAGGTAAAATAGATTATTATATAATTATAATAATTATTTACAGTAATAAATTCTAAATTGTAAATTGTGCAAAAGGTAGTAAATAAAATACAATAAAATTTAAAGAAAAGTGAACTTGTGCAGTATGTGCAATGTGCAGTAAACTGAGTGTACAGAGTTTTTAGTCCAGAGTTCTTGGTGGAAAACGGGAGGGGGTTTCAACGTCCAGTGTTCATGGGGGCAGAGGGGAGGGAAGGAAGAGAGGGGAGAGAGTGAAGCTTCCTGACAGCTTGGTGGAAGAAGCTGTTTCTCAGTGTGGTGGAGCCGGCCCGCAGGCTGCGGTACCGTCTCCCCGATGGCAGGAGGCTGAAGAGGCTGTGTGAGGGGTGGGTGGGGTCACGCACAATGCTGGTTGCTTTGCGGGTGGGCGGGTACCGTAAAGGTTTATGGTGTCGAGGACACATTATTTTACTGCTGACACCTGGGACATATACTGCAGATAACCAGCGTAACAACACATCCATTTGTTAATGATTTACAGTTTAAACCACTTGCAGAATGGAAAACTCTCCGAGTACAAGATGATGTTATTCCTACAATACTTTTAAATATGGTAAAGACTTTGAATACGTAAGCCATAGGTAGATAAAGGAAAAAAAACAGGTTCTTCAGTAACTGCATGAAACCGTTGTAGTTAAGACTTGTTGTCAGACGAGCTACATCAGTATCTTCTTTTAAAAACACATTTTTATCGTAAGGCCTTCTTATAATCCTTGTTTCATCCAGGATGTTTTACTCTTAACTTTAGCCAAACTTTGTCTCGGTTGTTTCCCTTTTTCTCTGTTAACTGGATGATTGCTGCACTGTTGTTTTATTTTTCATGCTTTTAATAGGATTTTATTGTTGTTTATTTGACTGTTGGGATGTTGCATCTTTAAGAAAAAGCTAAAGACTCTTTTTCGTTTTTCTGTAAAGCACTTTTTGTTGGTTTTGATAAGTGCTTTATAAATAAACTTTATTATTATTATTATTATTATTATGAAGTGTTCTTTAACAGTGTTTGCTCCATACATAGATGTCTAAAGTCACTTTCAGAATTTCCCACAGAGACAGCAGGACGGCTTTGGTTTGAATCGATCTCAAATATTTGTATTCATCTGATCTGCAGAGTCCCTCTGCACCTTTAAGAAAAAGCTAAAGACCACCTCTTTCATGAACACTTATGCACTAAATAATATTGACAATGACATATTTAGGATGGTTTTGACGCTCATAAGAACCCTCAAGAACAGCTGTCGATGTTGTTGTTAATGATATATTCTACAATTCATATGAAAGAAACTAAAAGTGCACTCCCTGTCTGCACCTGTGCGTTGAAGTCAAAGCTGTTCGTTTGCACTTCCTGACATTGTTGACAATAGACGAAAAGGAGAGATCATATCACCCAGTTCTTGCCTCCTTACACTGGCTGCCAGTCAAGCTCAGGATTGATTTTAAAATACTCCTGACTGTGTTTAAGGCATTAAATGGACTTGCCCCCGCTACCTCTCAGAACTTCCTACCCCATATAAACCGGTGAGAGATCTTAGGTCATCTGCACAAAACTTTCTGTCACCGTCTAAATCCAGGACAAGGTGCAAATGGGGATCGGGCCTTTTTCTACTGCAGGACCGAAACTGTGGAACTCTTGACCCCCCCAGACATCCGTCTCTCTCCCACTATTAAACACTACTGGGGTTTAATAGTTTTACTCAATTGCTTTTAATCTCCAGTAACCTGTTTTTTGTTGTTGTTATTCTTGTCTGTTTACTTTTTTAACGCTTTTTTCCTGCAATGTTCAGCACTTTGGATCAATCAATGATGTGTTTAAAGAGCTTCATAAATAAAAGTTGATTTGATTGTTCCCTCCTCTACAGATCTACAGATCCTTTTTGCTCGTGTTGTTCTCACTCTCTGTCTGCTAAATGACTTGTAGAAAACCCCCCAAAGCAGCTGACAGTGGAGTGTGATGAGGCAAACAGATCAGAAAACACAACAACAAGCTCACACAGTCTTCACACCTGGTTGTCAACACTGAGCTTGTAAACAGCTGTCAGTCAAACAGCATCGACAGGTGTCTGTGATGTCACTGTCATCACAAAGTACACACAACCACCTTAAAAACAAACATAAGACAGTCAGCTCCATCCAGGTGATCACTTTCAACCCCCCCTCCCTCCCTCCCTTACAATGGCAGGAAAAACTGCCCCCCCCCTCTTCACCCCCCACAGAGACGGGGACTAGTTTGTTGGTATTTTCGCCGCTGGCCTCAAGAGTGGCTACTGCTTAGCATCTCGTTAGCTTCGAAGCTAAAGCTACATTTGAAAGTCAAAGCAAAACAAAAACACAGCGAACAACAACAGAAGCCTGAAAACTAAAGTTCAGCAGCGACTGTTTCCCGCGGGACAGCGACACGGTGGCGGGTTTAAGTCGCCCCGGCTGGCTACCTTTCGGACGCCTTTGTAGATGTAGAAGTAGAGCTCACGGCCCACGTTGAAACAGATCCTGTCGCCGTTGCCCGACTGGTCGTTGACGTTCACGAAGGAGACCTTGACCGGGTTCGAGCCCTGCGAGTTGAACGGCACCCGGTTGGGACGGCTGTACTCCGAGTGAGCGAGGAGTTTGTAGACGCCTTCCCGAGTTGTGAACTGAGTTTTAATTTCGTTCATCTCCTTCCCTCCTCCCTCCGCCGCCATCTTTGAAATTAACATTCATCCCTTTTCTCTCCCCCCCCCCTCCCACCCCACTCCCTCCAGAGGCCCCGGATCTTAAGCCGCCTTCATGTGCTCCGCGGAAACATCGTAACTCCCAATTGTACAGCGGTAACGACGACATACACTTCAATTCAACAGCTCTTCTACAATTTATACAATTTATACAATTCACTTAACAGGACGGCTTTGGTTTGAATAGATCTCAAATATTTGTATTCATTTGATCTGCAAAATCCCTCTGCACCTTTAAGAAAAAGCTAAAGACCCTCCTCTTTTTCTTTTTTCTGTAAAGCACTTTTTGACGTTGGTTTTGATAAGTGCTTTATAAATAAACTTTATTATTATTATTATGATGAAGTGTTCTTTAACAGTGTTTGCTCCATACATAGATGTCTAAAGTCACTTTCATAATTTCCCACAGAGACAGCAGGACGGCTTTGGTTTGAATAGATCTCAAATATTTGTATTCATTTGATCTGCAGAGTCCCTCTGCACCTTTAAGAAAAAGCTAAAGACCCACCTCTTTCATGAACACTTATGCACTAAATAATATTGACGATGACAATATTTAGGATGGTTTTGACGCTCATAAGAACCCTCAAGAACAGCTGTCGATGTTGTTGTTAATTATATATTCTACAATTCTACAATTCACTTAGCAGACGCTTTTATCCAAAGCGACGTACATCAGAGAGTAAGTACAACACAAGCAAGGATCTAGAAAAAAGGGAACAATGTCAGTAAGAGCAAACGATCAGCTTTGAGTCTGATTGGACACACAGGTGCTGACAGGAAGTGACCAGAGGCAAAGCACAACATTGAGGGCAGTTCTTGAGAGTTCTAATCAGTATAGAAACCATCTTATAAGTCGTCGTTATCAAACAAAAACCATCGTCATTATCATCATCATCATCAATAATATGGAGACCATCATCATTAAGTTAGTAGGTATTCATGAAAGAGCTGGGTCTTTAGCTTTTTCTTAAAGGTGCAGAGGGACTCTGCAGATCCAATGGAGTTTGGAAGTTCATTCCACCACCGGGGGGCGACAGAGGAGAAGAGTCTAGTCAGAGACTTAGGACCCTGTTGTGAAGGTTGGATCAGATGCTTTTCATTGGCAGAGCGTAGCGGGGCTGGAGGGAGTGTAGACCTGGATCAGAGCGTTCTTGAAAGACAGACGCAGAAAGTAATGTTTTTTTCGTGGCTGATGTTTGATTACCAAAAGCAGGTATCATACAGCACCTTTAGAGCTTCAGCGGCAGAATACACAAAAACATAGAATTAGTATCAGGTAAACTATGTTATTTTAGCTGACATTCAAATTCAAAAAAACTTTATTTGTCCCCGGGGGGCAATTCAAAGGCACACAGAGCTAAATAAAGATGAGAGAGGAGATAAATAAAGTGACCGTAGTGCAATGATGGACAAGAAACAACAGGAATAAAGTAACCAGAACTGTATGAATACTGATATTTGCTCTCTTGATACAGCTGATAAATGTAAAATGAAAAAATAAATTTGAAACAAATAAAAATAAATGATAAAAACTATGAACAAAATACGTTTTTCCTTCAGTTGTTGACAAATTTTCCGGATTTTTGGCTGACCACAAACGTCACGCAAACATCACCACTTGGCAACTCAGGTATCTAATTTTTAATTTCCCACTGTAATTACGACTTTCGAGGGCCGTTCATGTACAGCTGACTCGTAAATGCGGTAAATCCGATACTACCGAGGAGCACTTGAAGGCAGCATTACGCACAGAGGGGAGCGGGCATTCCGACTCTCCCGTTCCCCCCGTCGGTTCACCGGGGAACTGATGAAGAGGCGGTTTGTTGGAGGACAGCGAAGTTTTCACAAAAAACATGTATTTTAAATCTTTGACCATTTTTCACGTGTTTTCTTAAAAATATGTTACAGACAATTTAGAAGAAAAATAAATGATAGTATATATTAGCTTTTTAAAAATGTATTATTATTATTTTTTTACATTATTTTTATGTCATTTGCAGCGTCTTCGATCACAGCTGATTTAAATAAGACTTAAATAACATTTTGAAAAATATATACCCTAAAACACGGTTACGAAATAAAATAAAAAACGACATTTACGGCTCTTGTGCATTGTAAATTAGGTTAAAATGAGTTTTATTTTGAAAAAGAAAGAATAAATCCGGACGTATTATTTTGTTTGAATCGTGAAAGTAGCCATACCTTGTGCTTGAACTTCACAACCAAGCTGCTAACTATGTGTGTGTGTGTGTGTGTGTGTGTGTGTGTGTGTAGACAGACTGCCCACCTGTGAGCACACATGGTTGCTTCATATCAAATGCACCTGGTGATCCACTCATTAATTAATCTACCACCCACTTCAACGTTAAATGTCATGGAGTATAAAGGAAGACGACAACTCTCACACCCAGGTATCTTTTTTTAATATATATACATTTTTAAATCACATTGAAAGCATGCCAAACTTGATCTAATTTCTGATGTATGACCTGGATGGTGCTCATTCAATATATTTCTTGACCATGCTACTATTCTACTCCTGCTGAGTCATTTTTGAATTTCTGTCGACAAACGTATTTTCATTAAACTAGAAAACAAATACACATACACATTTTTGATGTTAAATGCATGTGCTTCAATAGGCCCACATTGCTGCACAACAAATTCATATATATATTTTTCTCCCCTATTAGATCAAAGTGAGAGACATGCACCCAACAACATGGACCAGCTTGCTTTCAAATACATGGTGAGATGAGTGAGCATGACATGCTGTCTCATTAAAAAAAAAAAAGTATATTTCTTCTGATTTACTGCATTGATGTATAAATGTCGACTGACGTGAGATCTGTTTTTTTTTTTTTTTTTTTTTTTTTCAGGATATGTGTAAAGTGGAGTCCAGCACCGATTCTGAATCTGAGATCAGTCCAAGATGGTCGGACACGAGCACAATGGTATTGCTTATGTGGAAAAGCAACCTTGTTATGTAGTGTACATACAATTTAAATGGCTAAAAGAGATTCACCCAGACCTGGACTTTAGATGTTTTCAGTAGTATAACTTATTGAATTGAGTATCTTTCCCTGACGCTGACTCCACATGCACTTCATCTGGTCTTTGTGACATTATTTTGCAGGAGCACAATGGGATGTGATTGAGCCTTATAGTTCAGGGTGAATTCACTAAAAGGCTCAATCTGTTTTAAGATTACTGTCTGACTTATACCCCATCCTGCAGGGATGTTCAAGCAGTGCACCAGAGAGTCGGACGTTCAGTAGGACATTACCATTAACCCAAAAGCCTGCAGTAAGGCACGGCTGTGATTCTTTGGTACGTATTCTCATTTCTCTATTTCACCCATTTCTGCTGCAAAAGAACAGTGCTGTTCTGTGTGTTTATGAATGCATGTGTGCTTATGGACATAGTTTTTGGACCCATACGATGGAAGCTCTGAAGATTCTGACGAGTCAAATATCGATGGGGGCGTCACGGGCAGGCGAACACGGCATCAGGGAAGAGGTGGTGGAGGAGGAGGAGGAGGAGGAGGAGGAGGAGGGGGGAGTCGTTTTTTCTGCAGGAGCAGGAGATATATCCTTCACCACCCGGCCTCTGTCGCTCTTAGAGAAGTGCTGAAAAGCGGGGTGAGAAATCCTGTGACCGAGCAGCAACATCTTGGGGACGTCCCGATGAAATGCGGGAGTGACTCCAGCCTGTGGGTCTGTGAGCTCGACGTCGACAGGAATGCTTGTAGAGATCTCGGGGATAAAACAGCCATAGGTTCAACTATTCCCTCCCAAGCCATGGACATAGAGTTGCATTGCCAATTCGACGACTCGGGCTTACACTCTACAACATCCTCCACGCCTCAAACGCCCGGACCCTCAGCGGACGGGGTGATGTCCCAGATCCAGCAGAGTTCCTCAGAGAGGTCCCCCGGCCCCTGTAACCTCAAGTCCCTTTACAAGAGAAAGCTGGGACTCACCGGAGCGGAGGTGATGGAGCAAAGGAAGAGGCTGTGTGTGAGCAACATGGAGGACTCTGCATCTGAACCATGTTAGCACCATGTAAACATGGAGGGGACGAGAGAAAGACTGCTGACATATTCAGAAGCCTCACAAGCATGAAATGTAGAATAAAATACTATAAATAGTTACTGTGGTGCACTTTGTTTCTCATCTATAGAGGGACATGAGTTCTTTTGAGTGTCTCAGGTGTCACACCGTTCAGATTATAACTTTCATCTGTTCAATTTGATGGCAGATTACCATGGTAACGTAAGTGTACATAAACAAAACACTGTATGCACTTCTAATGAAGCACCTGTATATTTCCCCAAATAAATAAAGAAATCTGAAGAATAAAAAAGTTTTGTTTTGGGTTTTGTTCACATTTAACATAATCTATCTACTGCTACACTGGATACTTAAGTTTGAATTCTTTTGTTTAATAACAAATTAACCTTAATCATTATTTTCAAGCTGTTCCTGATGAGCTTTGGTTTAATTTGAGTTTCTTCATCTGTAAAATACATTTCAAGTCTTACGCTGCATTCACATTGCACTCCTTAATGCTTCATTCTGATTTCTTGCTTGAATCAGATTTTTTTATTTCGCTGTTTGCATTGCTTTTTAAATGCGGCTTGAGGATCAGCATCTCGTGATATTGAGAACTTGAGACACATAAGCAGCCCCCCCTCCACGTTTTAGTTGACTGAAATGGGACACAGTGAATGTTACAAATGATACGGACTTCAAATAAAAACACAGCAGAGAGAGAGTGGAGTCATTAATGCAGCTTTATTCATTCCAGGCTTTCTTCAATCTAAAAACATACAGATTCTTCCTAAAAACATTTCACTTTCCTTTCCTTGTTTCCTCTCTTCATTTACCATCTGACGACATTCTCTCGACCTTCTTCAACACTTCCCCAAAAATCACTAAATATGGTTACATGAAAGTTACTGCTCCACAGATGTTCTTAACTACGCTTCATATCGGAATGCAACAGGCTACAAACTACTTTAATCAAATGTGGTTAATAAGTGATGAATGTTATTGACTGAGTGTAGTTCAGTTAAGACGACGCTCTGGTCTTCAGGAGTGACTCGTGTCGTCTACTCGGTGCACAGGACCGCCACTCCGCGCTCATAGAAGCTGTGCGGCTCTTCCTTGTTGGCGATGTCGAAGTCAACGGTGAAGATGAGGTCGGACCTGGTGAAGTTCAGGTACACAGGTAGAGTCACCTGCAGTGGGAGAGAGAGAGGGGAAAATGTGTGTGAGGAGTGGTTCTGCACAGACTTTCAAAATAAAACGCAAAATTTAACAGAATTAAAACTCCATTAATTATTTGATAGAAACATTAGTGGTTTTGTGTTGTGCACATGTCGTCTTCATACCATGTTTCTCTTCTCGGTGTTCATCTGCTTCACCCAGCGGAGCTGAGTGAGAGGCAGCTCAGTGAAGATGGACGTGGACAGAGACAGCTTGTTGTTAGCACAGGTAGCTCCCTGCAGCTTCAGACCTGAGAGAGACAGTGACGATGTTCAACATCAGAAAACATCAAAAATCGGCAAGTTTGTTGCCAATCAACTGGATTCACATTTTCAAAGCAAAATGGTTGACTGATGATTGATCAAGATAAGGACTGACATAAGAAACGAGAAGTCCCCTTTTCTATGGGAGGGTTATATGTCAGACTGCATTAGTGAGTTCATTAAATAGAAGCAATAAACGCTGGCAAGAAGAAAAAATAAAGGTCAGCCCGATCCTCTACTCATGACCCCAATTTCTGTCTGAGGGAAAATACCCAGTTTGCATATTTGTGCTTCATCTTTTTGCCACATGTTAACCTTACTCTGCATAAGAATTGTACCGACTACAGCTAGTGATGTTCTGCAGGTCTGACCTTTGATGCCAAAGCTGCAGGCGTCCAGCGCTGCACCCTGGGCGCTGGTGACATTGACCTCCAGCAACAGCTCCTCCAAAGACCAGCTGTTGGCCTGGGCCACATACTGGCGGGTGGCGGTAATGTAAGCCTCCGGCACAAACAGGCTGCCGAGACACACGTGGATGTTCTGGGGGAAAAAAAAGAAGAGGAAAATAACAAAACCGTGAGCTGCTCTGTTTTTTTTTTGTTTTAGCAAATCTATCACATGTTGATGCTTTACAATACATCATCTAAATGGAGCAGTACCTTCAGTTCCTTTGCACCTCCACTGGCGGCTCCCTGGGAGATCTGCTGCAGCTGTTTGATTCGCTCGCTGAAGTCGGCCACCCACTGGATCACAGTCATCGCGAGGGGAACAGTGTAACGACACCAGCTGCGTGGGAGGATGCCTGGGGGAGAAGACAGACAGGTGCACTCCAGTTATTTCCTACAGAGTACAATCTGTTCAAGGACGTCCTGTTTGTTTAGCTTCAAACTAGAAACCTAAAACATGTTGAATGAAAACAAACAAACAAGTTGTTACCTTTAACCAGTTCGCTGATGAGTGAGCGCAGGTCGTTAGTCTGCTTCTTCTTGCCCTCACACACTTGAACCACATCGGTCAGATCCTGACGGACCTCCTGCAGCATCTTGCCGCCCATCTTCACCTCGCGCTCGAAGAAACGGAACAGGGGGTCCTGGACGACAAGAGAGAGAAAACATCCAAGTCAAAAACAAAAATTGGCAAAACCAAGTAAAGAAATGAAAAACACAACCAAAGATCTGATAAACAAAATAGCCAATGATGTCGTTTAGATTCTTGTAGAAAAAAAAAAAAAGTACCGCCCTTGAAGTCAGCTTGCAAAACACCTTCCCTCTCATTTATTTTATTACCTTGATGTTCTCCACCGTGCGTTTGAGTGGATTGACACTTTGGGGCATGAGCTGCAGCCAGTTGCAGGCGGTGGTGTGGAGCGTCCTCATCCAGGCCGGCTGCGTGTCAGACGTGGACGAAGTGCGCTCTTTCTTCTCCGTCTCATAGGCAAGGTCATCCTCATCCTCCAACATCTGCATTTTCAGCATCTTACCCATCATGTCAGTGGCTGCGCAGCCCAGCGGAGGGAACAAGTGAGCAGGGGGGGAGGGAGGTGGAAGACAAGGCCATGGTGGGAGGTAAGGGGGGGGAAGAAGAAATTAACAGTGGAACAAAGAAACAAAGAGCTTCCCTTGAGGGTGTGTTAATTATAACAGGTTTTGGGTTTGTCATAAAAAGAGGAGTTGTGCCGAACAGATCAAACAAATCAGGACAACATTGGAAGGAGGAGGAGGAGGAAAAGACAGACAAGGCTTCAGGCAGTATTCCCATCAAATGTAATATTCAGCAAAGCTCCCGAGTGGGAAAATAAAAACATATTCTTGACTGGATCTGGAAAAGAAATGGAGGGTAACAAAACTGAGGGAGAAAACTAAGGGGTGGGAGTGAGGATGGAGGGGAGAGGGAGTGTGGAAATCATCAACAAAGTATGGGGTGTGATTCAGGGGGATGTGGGAGGTGGATGGCTGATACGAGTCCTAATAGGAGGGCGGGGTTTGAGTGGTATTTTTAGCAAAGCGGACATGATGGCTGTGAAATACAGCTGCTGGAGGTTGAGGCCACCCACACCCCTTCCTTTGGGCAGAGCACCTTTTGAAGCATGATGGCTGAGGCTACAGCTAAGCTACAACTACAACTACACAGCAAGTAGGTATATACAAGAGCAACACGAGGAGGCACTTATGAAACCACAGAAAACTAACCGGTGAGAAAATGAGCGATCAGTAGAGGGAGCAGAACTGACATATTCTTTGCCACCACACACTACAAACACACACAAAGTATTCTGCCCAAAGCAGACGTAAAAACAAATCAAAGAACTGGTTGCACTGCGAGCCCTGTCAAAAAAAATAAATTAAAGACACTAGAACAGAGAGAGAGATGGTTAGTGATTCGCTCTGTGAAGCCATGAAATCTGATCGAGGAAGAGGAGTCCAGAGATGTCGGGGACATGTTACAGATCACCAGAGGACAGATGATGATGACGACGATGATGAGGACTGTCTGTAGCCTACCCTGAGTGGTGAGCAAGACCTTCTCCGCATTGCTAGGCAACCCGAGCCAAGATGGAGTCTGAGTGTCGGGAAGCATCTCAACCCAGTGCATGAACTCCTCACGCCTGCAATAAATCAAAAATCACACATCATTTATCGGTTTTTTCAAACGTTTGTTTTACAGAGCTGGATTACGCCCGCACTAACTCACCGAATGCCATCAGGCATCTTGATGTCCTTGTGCCCGTCGACCTTCAGGGCCAGTTTGAACTCGCTGTCGAAGCTTCCCTTTGTGAAGATGCGCTCCAGGAAGGTGTTCAGCAAACGCTGGTCGAACTCGTTGTCGATTCGACCGCCGTAGATGGACAGGGCCATGAGGGTTTTCAGAGCAGCCCAGGGGATCTTGTCCGGAGCGATATTCTGACGACCCTGTGCGTGTGTGTGTGTGATGAGGCAAAGTTTTAGAAGACAAGAAGAAGAAATCTACTTGAATAATTTAGTATTTTAAGAGGCAAGAATGATTCTCCAACCTTGGCGGTGTCGTCCAGCCAGGTGTCCACAGTGTCACAGGCAGAACGGAGGTCAGACTCTCCAAACTCGTATTTCTTGGACCAGCCGAGCGGTGCATAGCGCAGACGCTCCTGAATGACTGCATGGAACCAAGCAAGCAGGAAGTAGAGACGAGCACGCTCATTGGGAGCCTGAGGAAAGAAGTCATTGAGATGGATCATGTGGAGAAAGTGGATTGTCGGTAATAAGGATTGAGGAGGCGTTGGCATTGGGAGTGTTTTTTATTATTGGTATCAGAAGGTGCATTTTACTTTAATTAAAAGAAGAAGAAGTCCAGGCTGAGTTACCTTGCACATGCGGGCCACAGGGATGCTGCTGAAGGTTCGGAGCATGTTGGCTTTGACACCAGGAGGCGGCTCGAACACAAAGATACGACCAGCACGGAGCAGGTTCACAGGCACCTAGCAGGAAAACAAGATACTTAAATATTAAACACACAAGTCTTTAATATAAGATGTGAAACAAGCCTGCTGATTTACTTCTTTATATTTCTTTTTTAAAGATTAATCAAACAGTGTTGAATATTCTTGCCTTGGGGTTGATCTCCATAGTCAGGAAAAGCCTGAAGCTTGCATGAGGCTGCATGGAGTGGAGCTTCTTTTCCAGCTGCATCAGCCATCCAGGGGCCAGGTGGACGTTCTCCAACATCACCCACCTGCAGGACGGAGTCACTCAGTCAGTCATTTACAGTCTTTACAAGCTAAGAAATGACACAGACAGAACGTCACATACCGTCCAGACTTGACAGCAGTGTTGATATCTCTGTCTGCCTTATTGAACCCTTCAGCTGAACCTGTGGACCAAGTTTAAAAAACAAGACGTATCAACAAGAATCCTCGAGTATCTTCGGTCTTCAGGGTCTTAAGAGTATGGGCTTTATTCTCTTTCTTACCAATAGAGATGGAAGTGATTTGTTTGTTCTCCTCAGCAGCCAGATCTCGGACCAGGCCGCTGGCATCATAACCCGGTACAGAACACATCAGGACTGGAGTGCTCGGCTTCACCTGCAGGCGTCAGAGAGGAACGTCAGCAGGTTCAACAACAAACACTGACAACAGGAGAGAGAAGATGACTGAAAGTGTTGATTGGTAAATACCTCCATATCCACAATGTTAGCCAGGTCAAGAGGCTGCTCGATGATGTTCATGAAGGTCTCTCCCAGCACCTTGGAGACAAAGATGTGCGACATGGCCAGCATGCGATCGGGGCGGAAGGCCTGGATCAGCAACAGCTGGTGAACTGCCTGACCGATGGAAGCTGAAGACAGAGCGGAGTACACACAACACGTACAAGTTTAGACGACATTCCTATCAATATCAGCCGTGCTTGAACATTCATGCATCATCAAAAGATGGCAGATCTATATACTCACTGGACTGCATCTCCTCTGACCACAGATAGGGAACAGCCAGCTCTGGAGAGTTGCTCTCGATCCACATGAAGAATTGCTGAAGTAACAAAAACAAGAAGATAATGATCACTGATATAGAAGGAACGTATCGACTAAACTGAAGAGTGTTCATACAGTATACAGCTCTGCTTCATTATAGCATGAGGCTCAGTGTCCACCTAGCATTTTTTCCGGGAGAGGAGCGCTAGACGTGGGCTCAGGAACGCTCACATGAAGCGTTTATGCTCTGAGAAGAAAAGCACTGCACATCTGTCCTGTCTCTGTGACAACAGTCTTTTGAAAACGGCCGCTGTATGACAGACACTGCTCCTTTGTTTTTTACTGTTGAGATCGTGTTTTTTTTCCCCAATCAGACACAGAGCAAAGAGGATTGTGGGTACAAGACACGATCCATAGGTGGCAAAAATACAGGGAATATCATAGATTTAGAAAACAGTGTTGCAATAGCGCCCTTGAGAAAGGTTTAAAGATTTCTCAGCTTGAGTGCTCGGAGCGGCCGCATAAAAACGGCAGAGCGCTCAGAAAAAGGATGCTGGGCACTGTGCTTTTTCTCCAGGCGGCCGCTTTCTGCTGCAAATGCTCTCTACTCATTTAAAAAAAAAAATAGAAAACAGATGCTGGCGCTCAGAAAAAAACAAAACACTAGGTGGACACGGGGCTATCTCTAACTAGATGTGCAATATTGCTTCAGTGCTCACCTCGTCAGCCTCAACTTTGGACACAAGGTCTTCGAACGCTGGCAGGTGACTGAGGCGGACCATGGCCTCACTCTGGTCGGTGGTAAGACCTTTCACTTTGGGCACCGACATACCGGTCAGAACGATCTCCTTTCCGCGCAGATAGTGCTGGAACTCTGTGTCATACGAGGGCTCGCTGGAACATACATTATATCAAAGATTAATATTCATTGCCGGGAAACCTTTTTTGTTTCACACTGTTGGAAGTGTATCAAGAGAATACTGGAAAAACATACCTAGTGATGCCCTTCAGGCTGATCTTAGCCAGCAGCATGGCAAACGTGATGTGGTCCAAGTGAAGCATTCCTCTGGCTGCTCTGTTGAACACCACCTACATCACATCATAAAAAAAGAAGTACATTAATGTTTATATATCAACCAAAAGAAGAAGACACTAAATCCTAAAAGGTGTAGTTCAAACCTGGAAGAGGTCTTTGGTGATGACAGCAAGTCTCTGTGAGTGATCAGTGATGCCCTTCAGGTTGGAGTTCTCGTAGAGGACCGTGTGGTAGGTATCCAGGAAGAAGTGAAGAGAGTACTGGTACAGGAAGTGCATCTGGAAAGAGACACAGCGAGAGTAAGCACGAGTTAGCTCTCTATGCCTTTAGCTTTAGAGAACTGGCAGGTTTAATGCCACTCCAGAGGGTTGTGTGAAATTAAAAAATGAGATTCCCTTTTTGTGTTTCATTGTACAATCTGTGATGACACAAGGGATGTTCTTTTAAAAATAAAATCCTCAATTTAGGCAGATTTCTTTTGGCTAGACGATTATGAAAAACTTGAGTTGTGTTTTTTTTTTAAAAAGGAATCTTTGTTGTTGCAGATTTTATTTGTAAAGCCTGGGAGAAAAGACAGAACATGCTGTTTAATCTAATAATGTTCATCTGATATTTTAATGAACATTTTTAGTTGTGTTTCTGACTCATGGCTGAACATGATTATTCAAATGGTTTCAGTGGTGTTTGTTATTGTTGTGTACGGTGATGTACTGTCAATATTGTTTGTTGTTGTGTATGAATTGACCAGGTGACAAATGAGTTTCCCCCCCTGGGGATCAATAAAGTTTTCTAATCTAATCTTAAAGCTGAACTGTGACAGAAGCCTGCAGCTTTGTAATGTTATGAAATGTTAATGTAAACCACTGAGTGAATTTCTGGTGGTCTTATAAACCCATGAGGGGTCGGGTACTGACTGGGTGTGTTTCATGTTAATGACAGGTTCAACGTTTCCGACCTGGTTGAGAGACTCCATGGTGAAGTAGATGCTGCTGCAGGCCGAGGACAGGGACAGGTATTGCTGCGACACCGCCTCCACCTCCGCCATGACAATATCCGTCTCCTCCACCTTCCTGGTCACCTCCGCCGCCTCCTTCTTCAGGTTCTCCAGCGTGGTGATGATGGTGTCATCGTCGAGGATGCGACCCTTGACCTCATTGAGGGCCTGCAGCAGGGATTTCTCCAGCTGACGCAGGCGCAGCTGGAACTCACCTGCACCACAAAAGAATGGGGGGGAAAGATGTAGGTTAGCTTTTTCATGACAGTCTGATCCACTGCCTCGTCGCTGCGTTAGCACGTCTGGTATTTTGTGTCTCACCCTGCAGCTTGAGGAGGTCAGAGCGTTTCTCGTCCACGTCGGGCCGCTCAGCCTTCAGCACCTCGTTCAGACACTGACTCTGAAGGCTGCTGCGTGTCACCGTGAAGTTGACGAATGTGACACGAGAACACAAGTCTGGTGGGAACTCGACCTGCACACACAAGAGACACATTAACCACATTTACTTCTTCATACGACCGTTTTAGAAATGTCAGATGTTCCATTGTCCTAATTGTATACTTTTTTTCCTTTTGCCACTCATTTTTTTAAATTATTCTTTCAACAGAAAAAACATCAACAACATAACATCAGAATAATTGCCAGACATTTAGACATGTTCAATTTTAGGTCATAACCTAAGTAGTGCAGTTCACAAGGGGTCTTTAAATAGCTTCTCATAATTTACATGATAAAATAAAACAGTGAAAGGGAGGTAAACGACATAAAGTTGTCAGATCTAATTATATACATTATAAGACTTAGACATTGTTTAATTAATCCTTAAAAAAGTTGAATATTCTGACATTATTCTGAGATGAAACCTACAGTAAGAGCTACTCACCGTTGGGTCACGTGTAGAAAGGAAGATGACAAACGACGGTGACAGATCGATGTCCTGATCTCCCAGAGTGATGAGGACACGACCTCCAGTCCTGCGGACCTCTCTGTTCAGCACCGGGTTCAAGATGGGGTCGTAGCTTTCTACATCCTAGAGCGGGGGCAGAAAAATAATAAATGAATCCTTAATGAGGTCGATGACCAGTGAGCAAGAAGCGTGTTGAAGTCAGCGGTTTGTACCTGGACCAGCAGCGGGTTTCCAAAACGCAGGGCGCTCTCCAGGTTCTTCCTGAAGGCATCGTCCAGGAAACTGGTTCTGGTGATTTTGCGTTCTTTGTACTCGTTCATTATGAACTCCGTGGCTTGGCCAGATGGATCGATGATAAGCGGGTATCTGTAAAAAAAGGTAGATGAAAATAGTAGAGACGCTCAGGAACGCTTTAAGTAAATGAGTAATGACACCAAAAAGATGTAAAGATAAAGATACTGACCTGTTGAACCTCTTGAGCATGATGGCGTTCTCAGTGCAGAGGTCGTCTGCTGGGAGCGAGTTGGCCTGCCAGCGGAGCCTCTCGTCGGCGTTGGACAGGTACTCGGTTCTGGCGATGTCCGTACGGAACTGAAGAGAGAAAATGAACGACGATGGAGTTTCAAATAATTGGTAAAAATAAAAAGCTATCACATACTCCCAAGAAAATATGCAAAACCACAAAAGGTGTAACGATTCACTCAACAAACGATACGACTCTCAATTTATTTTACAAAAGAGACTGAAGACAAATGATGAGTGAAAGAGAGTCCTTTAGGGGGCAGCAGACCCACTTGTTTCTATTTCTTTTACTGCTCTTACCTTCTTATTGCTGTTATCTTTTTATTTGCTTTTATCTCTTAGTTTCTTACATCTTTTTAAATCTTTGTTTCCTCTTGGTCTCAGCTCGTGTTGTTGGGTTCTTGTGATGGTTCTTGTGATGATCGGGTTCTATATGTCTGTTGGGTATCGTGCACTTTGGATTCTTTTCTGTTGAATTGTATTTAATTATTTTGAGTATTTTGCATTTGTTATGTTCTTGCTGTTGTTTATGTTCTTCTGTGTTTGGTTTAGTTTGTTCTTGTTTTTGCTGTTTGTCAAAGCACTTTGTAAACCTGTGTTTTTAAAAAGGTGCTATATAAATAAAGTTATTATTATTATTATTGTCAGTGTGGTTTGGCCTTTTAATGTTTTTTTTCTCTCAACAAGGGGAGGTGATTGGTGATTGGTGATTGATCTTCTCACCTCTTTCATTTTCTGTCTTGGGGGAAGCCAAAATGCTTCCACACCTCGATTTAAAAGACGGTGTGGTGCATCCTCAATCTCTAAATCTTGCTCTGCAGCTGCTGACGCTCACCATATTATTGCGATTTGAGTACCGATGTGAATCTTGACACCTTTGAATCGATTTATCAAGATTGTACGATTAATCTTTACATCCCTAAAAACCACAAATTGAATGATAAGCCCGCAACATACTGCTCTGATAATGACTAGAAGTATTGGTAACGCGTGTCTTGTAATTTTGATGATCGAGCGACTCGGCCCTGCTGTATCAGAGTTATAAGCACCTGAATGTTGGCCTGCTGCAGGTGGTGAGACCAGGTGGTGAACAGGTTCTGTCTCATCTGCTGTTCAAAGTATCCGGCGTAGGAGATGAAGGCGGACGACAGCAGACAGTCTCCAGCGATGGTGGACATCTGGTTCTTGAAGGTCTCGCTGGTCTTCTCCCAGCGGTCCCTCTCAGCCGACAGACTCTTCAGCAGGGCTGTGCTGCGGTTCACCTGCGAGGAGACGCTTCAGAGTTTACTACGTTGTTCAGTTTAACCCGGATTAAAAGCGACAGATCCAGAGGGGGAAAAAGAAAGAAAAAGATACCTTAGCTTCTACAGCGGCCAAGTCGGCCTTGATGGCCTGAGCCTCCGAGATGAGGACGGCGTACTCCTCCTTGTAGCGTGCGATGCTGGCCTCCAGGTCTCTGATCATCTGCTCCACCTCCTCGGCTTCGTCTTGTTGTCCGTGGCGTCGTCCTCCAGCTTCTGCAGCTCGTTACGCAGAGGCTCCACGCGCTTCAGCATGTCGGCATAATTGAGCTAACGGAGACGATAGAGAGGAGAGGAAGGTAAGATCAGAAGCATTCACTTTGAGCAATAATAATGTTATCATTTTTCATTCTGTTACGGCTCGTCTACCTGAGCGATCGCCCATTTCACCATGGGTCCACAGGCCAGAGACGCCCTGTTCACTTGGTCGTAGTTGTAGCCCGGGTTGGAGAGGTAGTTCTTCTTCATCTTCTCACGGATGGAGTCGCTGGATAAAGAAGAAGCAAAAAAAAAAAAAAAGTCAGCAGCTTCTTCACACAGTCGATAAAAAAACCAAAAAAAAAACCTTAATGTGAAATAAAATCACCGGAAGAAATTAAATAATTCAGTGGATCATTTAGATTTTGTTGTGGGGTGGGAGAGGGGATTTATACCATCTCTGCTCCTAAAAAAATGTAAAATCATTTACAAAAAAGAAGAGTTGTAACCATAAGCTCAGTGTCTGATTCATTAGAAGATCAAATCTGATCAGAGGAGCCGCTTGATTGATATGCTGATTTGATTTGGCTTCCATTGTCGGCCGTTCTGATTGCTGGTACCTCATTTCCTCAGAGGAAAAGTTGACTATGCTGCTGATGAAATTGTCCCTGATAATAACTTGTCTGATTTTTTTCCAGTCACTGGTCTCCTCGCCCAGCAGAAGGCAGATAGACTCCAGGGCCAGCTTGACAGCGGCTGGGGGATTGGTCATGGCCCGCACTTCTACTAGGTGCTGCCGCTTTATAGAGCTCACGGCTAGTTAGGTGGAGGGAGGAAATGTGTTTGAAAGACAGGAAGTAATCAGGGGGGAGAGAGGGAAAGGATACGGGAAGGGGGGGGATTTGAAAGCAGAGACAGAGAGGGAGAGAGAGTTTTAGTGAACAAAGTGCACAACACATTTCTCGTCTTAGTTCACCTGATGTCTTCAGCGGAGAAGTTTACAATAGTGGGGATGAAGTTCTCCCTCATGATGATGGAGCGGATCTGCTTCCAGTCGGTGGTGCTCTCTCCCAGGAGCAGGCAGATGGACTCGAGGGCCACCTTCACGGCCGCGGGTGGATTGGCCATGGAGCGCACCTCCACCAGGTGCTGCTTCTTAATGGACTTAACGGCTATGAACGTCAAGGGCGAGCAAAGAGAGGGGGTTATGAAAAGTGGACGGGGCGGTGATGAGGGAGGGATGCAGTCAAAGAATTAGTTGTGAAAACAGTTTCACGGTCATAAAAACCAGAAATCTTTTGGCCTAACGGTGGAATAGAACAGACTGTTGTGGATTTTAAGAAAACTAAAGGAACATTTTTTTTAAGATGGCAAACATAGTCGGCCTTAAAATGTTCGCTGTTGCTGGTACCTTTTGGTTTCCAAATACATTAGAAGTAAATTTAAAAACAGACTATTTTCTAGTATGATGTGTAGTCCTGTTGTTTCATAAACAGAAGGATGACTACGTCTTTCAGCTCATTCTGTGAAAACAATTAAAAAAAAAAAAAGGTAGAATAGTTTTTTTACTGTACCATTCTGAGCCTCGATAACAGCCGGCTCCACTTGATCCAAGTCCTCTTTGACACTCAGCTGTTTGTCTTTGATCACTTCCTGCTGCTTGTACACAGATTCCTGGATCTCCTGGCTCATCACCTGGAAGCAAAACAAATTGCACAGGAGGACAGTTAATCAAAACCACAACAGAATATCGTTTTCTACTTCTTGGTGTTAAATTCATCTTTGCGTACCTTTTTCTTTTCGGCCTCCTGCTGGTCTTTGACCATCTTCTTCAGCTTGTCGTTGGCGGCCGCGTTCTTTGCCTCCAACTCCTGGCTCTTGATTCTCAGGTCGCGACGGAGCTCCTCCACCTGGATGAGAAAGAAAAGTTACGATCACGCACTGAGAGAAACAAGCACGACTGTAGTCAAGAGTTCAAGAACGATGTGACAGGTCTTTAGGAAAATTATCTTAGCAGGCTCAACCAAAGAAGACGACAATACATTCTGCATCGATAAAGGAATGGTTTAACTCTTGTTGAAAGATCATTAGCTGTAATTCATAAGGCACGAGCATCCACTTTACAGGCTTGGGATTTCCTTTTTTCAACTCTTTCAGATCCACTTTTTCTAACCGGTATTATAAACAAAACGCAAACTTACACTTTGTGTGAAAAATGTTTACTTAAAAATAAATTAATAAAAAAATAAAGTTAATAAAATGTATCTTTAACTGGGGAAATTCCAGCTCAGCATATCTTCGTTAGAGTTTTTAAAAGAAAAAAGATTTATAAAATGACTAAGCCAAAAAAAGAAAAATAAATTGTTTACTTGAATTCCTTTTTTTTTTTTTTTAAATCTGTTTATTTGTTTTAGTTTTATTTTGTGTGCATATGTGGGTGTGGGTGTGTATATATGTATGTATATGTATGTATATGCATATCATAATTTCAATCAGTAATTTTGTATGTTTTTCCTCATCAAGGCAACGGCGATCTATAAATAGTTTGTTTGATGATGCTGTCCTAGGTTTCTGTCATTGACACTCATGTGTACAATCATCTTGTGTAAAATTTCAATAAAAAGTTGATCAGAAAAAAAAAAAAAAGAATGATGTGACAGGAAATCATTAAATCTCTGCAGCATCGTTATATCATGAAAAATGTGACGCGTCTTCACCTGATCGACGGTCTCCTTTATCTTGCGGAGGCCGACGTTGAGGTGCATCTGCTGCTCCTCCAGCTCGCTGCGTTTCTCGTTGAACAGGTTGGCGTACTGGTTGATGAAGTCCAGGTAGTGTCGAGGGGTGATGGCCATCGTGTGACCACCTCGTTTAGCCAGACGGTTGTTGGCCTGTGAAGAAATCACAACGGATTAAAGCTTAGCAAACGACGCCTAAATATCCCGTTTCACACCGAACATTACATCCATCGTGAAACCAGAACCACGCCTACCTGGTGGAGAGTCTGGTGCACAAACACGCAGCCGTTGACGATGGCCTCGCGGTGAGACGGCGGCTGGGGCAGCTTGTCGTAGACGATGGGCATGTAGTCCGGCACCTTGTAGTTTGGTTTCTCCAGATCCATCTTACTGGTGAACTCCTTACCCACCTGGTACAGGGCCTCTGTGGACCAGTCTCCAAACCAGTTCAGCACACACCTAACACAAAGAAAGGTTTGCGGTCAATACCATCTTCCATCTTGTTTATGTTTCAGTACATTGCATTCATTAATCCAGATTCTCATGTGCAACATAAGAGACTAACCACTTTATTAAACATTTATCTTCTATTCCATGACAGGACTTGATCCATCATTCTTCTCACTCATTAAGTCAGCGGATTGCTTCAAATTTAACACATTGTTATCAATTTCCCACTAAATTTTCTGTAATAGTTCATTTTTTATGAGTGGATTTTTTTCCTGTGATACATCAACACGGCAGCTGCACTCTGACCTTTTGATTGACACCTCATTTGGCCAATTTACAACCTTCCATTCATTGTTCCCAGCCTATAGAGCGCCACAGGAATGAGTCCTAAAACCCTGAAGTAAGTTAGCATTTGAGCGCCATGGGGTCTAACGTCTAAAAGTCAATGTGGATTTTGAATGTGTTTGTGGTTAGACTCCTGAAATAAGGTCTGTGGTGAACACAAGCTGAAGAGATGTTGGTGTTTTGTTAAACCACATAAACTACGTTAGGTAATACCTCCACTTGTGAAGTTTGAAGTTTTTACTCGTCTTTAAAAAGGCGGTTGCTAACAAGTGGCTAAATGTGACTACAGCGGTTGTCGGGGACATTAAAAGGTCATCACGCCGGACACAGAGGGCGGGAACTCTCTCACTAGTCGGAGATGTCTCCTGTAGGTTTAATCTTTAGGTTCAGGTGAATATTATGTTAGTAAACTATTTATTAAGCTACGTGGATTAGTTTATCAGAGATCGTCTGAAGCATAACGCTAGTGACGTCACAACCATCCCACCGTGGTGTAGTTAGCTTGTAGCATAACGTTAGCTTTTTACTTTTGTCGGCCGCATTAACTCTTCAAACATCATAAAAATGGCGTTCATCTGTGAAGATTATCCTGCTGAACAAAACGCCTACGCTTCAGAAACGTGTGTTTACCACAGAGGTTATTTTCTGCAATGATCCAAAATCCAATGAAAATATCCCAGAGGAGAATTCTCGTTAGACCCCCATGGCGATGCTACTTCAGGGTTGGCCTACAAAAATCTGTCATATGGTTTGTTCTCTATAATATCCAATGAGAGCCTGAGCTGAAAGGAGGTGCCCGCCCCCCTGTTCTGAATGGAATTCTCTTTCTTTCATAAGCAGGTTCGACTGTGAGTTTGGAAGTCGAATGAGGCTCTTGGTCACCCCTTTTATCTTTTCCTTTAGAGAGAGTGTGCCGTGTGTCCTGTACCTGTTGAAGAGGGCGGGGGATGTGGCAGCCCGGTCCTTCAGGCCCTCTGATGACGGGTTCATGGTGAAAACAACATGCAGGTTCCTGATGACCTGGCTGGTGAACCACTTGTACAGCTCTTCGTGTGTGTCCAGCATCAGGCCCTCCTTCTGGGCTCCCTCTTTACACTGAGTCATCAGGGTCGCGTACTCGTCACCCTCGAACAGGCCGGGAACCTAAAACAGAACGACGCATGTTAAAAGAGGCCGGAAAAATAAGACCGCACAACTAAAACAGATTCTATATCTCTGAAACTAAAAAAGGCATCTTGTTCCTCTGTGAGGATATGATGGACGCTAGTTACCTCTCCGTTGGCCAGCAGTGTGTTCATCCTCTCAAGGAAACCAGAATCCAGCACGTTGGACTCATCCATGATGAAAGCGATCTTCTCGTTCTTGCAGCCTGAGCGACGCAGCACCGTGCGCAGATCCTCGTCAAAGTCCTCTCCGGTGTATTTCCTGTGGACCTGGAAACACACGCGTATATCAAATACAGATTGTTGGTTATGACGCTCTTTGCGAAAACGTCTCAACATGTTGGCTCTTCACACTTCCTGTCACCGACCTTGATCTGGTAAACGCTGAGTCCGTTCATCCAGGCGACGAAGCGAGACAGAGTGGTCTTTCCTGCTCCACTGACGCCGATCAGCAGGAGATGACCCTGAGGCTGCCGGAAGATTCTGGAGGAGGAATCGATTAAAAAAATGTTATTATCTGAAAATCTAGTCAGAATTATGAGGTCTAAAATCATTCTTCTGTATGTATTTCATCACAAGCACGAGAAGGAGGCTCTCACCGGTCGATCCTGAGGACGTGGTCCAGCACCTCGTTGAAGAGCACCAGAGGGACGTCCAGCTCCTCTTCATAGAAGACCTTCAGACGGGCCTTCACATAGTCCCTGAGCTCCTCCTGTTCCACGGGGATGTAGTCCTGTATAGACAAATAAAAAAGTGAGTAGGAATATTTCTCAATGTCTCAGCATCTTTACCAAAAGCAGAGCGATCACAGCTGCGGTCTTATTGCTAGTTCACCTTGGAGAGCCAGTTGCTGTAGAGGATCGGCCTGTTGAGACCCTTGTCCTTATCGATGTTGGGGAAGTGTTTGAGAGCGACCATGTCGATGTTCTCATCTGTCCACCTTCGCTCTTCATCATCAACCAGCCTGGGAAAAGGTTTAGGATAAGACTTATTACGAGCACGTGGGCACGGTATGGATAGCCTAGTGTTAGAACGCCCCTAAAGACTTTTTAAGAACTGTGAGAGTCCTGCAAGTCTTTTGTTTTAAGTCTTTCCTCAGAAAGTTGTCCTCACCTGTCCTGGAAGAGACGCAGAGCTTCATGGGCCCAGATGCGGATCAGCCCTTCCACAGGTAGAGTCTCTAGAGGACGCAGGGCCTCGAAGATGCCCCTCACCCAGCGGGTCATCTCTCTGGGGGAGTAGATGTAGTGAGGCTGGGTGTCCTGGGTGAACCGCTCCTGAAGAAAAAACGGGATAAATGTAAAGGTAAGATAATAAACTGTAACACCACAAAGAAAACCTTGTAAATATTTCATTTAAAATCCCTTACCTGAGACATGGTGTAGAACTCCACCATCGCAGCAGTCAGAGGCTCAGCGTAGGTACGCAGAGAGGGGATGAGGCGCAGCATGGCACGGTTGAAGGTTCCATAAATCTGGGTCAGAGAGGCGGGACCTGGGTAGTCCACGTACACAACGGGGACATGACGCAGGAACCTACAAACAGCAAACCACAACATGGTGAACGTCAGAGCTTTGTCACATGAAATATATTAATTAAGTAAAAAATATATATATTTTCTGGTCATTTAGATATTTATTTTATGACTTTGTTAAACAGGTGTTCAGTATGGGTCCTGTACCTGTGTGTGAGAGGCTTTCTGCCGGGGTCAGTGGGAGGATTACAAGCTCCAACAAACTGGATCCTCTCCAGTTTGACCCAGGTCTGGTCTGAGGTGCGGTAGAAACCTCCATGCTCCACCATCTGCGAGGAAAACACACAAAAAGATAAGCCAGTTATCTTCAAGCAGGGATACAAGGTTTATCCTTCCATGTCCAACATGATGATGTCATAACTGTAAACAAAAGCATCGTACCTGTCTGAGGAACGAGATGACTCTCTGTGTGCCGTACTTGTCCATGTCCGGCAGATTGATTTCATCGCAGAACAACACCAGCCACTTGCCCAGCTGGACGGGGGCCAGGACGACTCCGTTGGGGGTACGTCGGTACTCGCAGTAATGATCGAAGGTCTTCAGGAGCAGCTCCGGGGTGGTGGCACTGGAGAAGTTCAGACCGACAACCTGGTGGAGAATTGGAAGACGATTTTGAAATTACTCGTTTTGTACATTTCCATGCAGAAGTTAAGGATGATTGACTCAAATGAACATTATTCTTAAAAAGGGGCATGATGTAGCTTTTCCAGGGCTTCAAAAATGATGAAAACTCCGGATCAGGTTAAGCTAAATGAGGGTTTTAGTGATTTTTTTCATCCAGCCTCTCACCTCCATGTCAGGCAGCGCTCTGAGGGCGCTGAACAGAGTCATGGTCTTTCCGGAGCCGGGAGGTCCACACAGCACCAGGGGCTTGTGCTCGGCCAGCCACGTGTAAAGCAAAGCCTCGTGGCGCACGGTATCCAGGGTGGGAACCACAACGTCCGGGGAGGCCACCTTGTGGGTCTCGACCTCGATCTGGGGCACCTTGCCCTGCCAGGACTGCCACTCACCTGTGATGCACACCTGTACACAAAGACGATTTTTTTTTTGTGAAGGTTACAGATAATCAAAACGACTTTCTTACATTTTACTCAAGAAGAACTTTTGTAACACTTTAAGCCGTACCTCGTAGTCGATGATGGGGACATTGGGCGCAGAGGGGAGGGGCACTGTGGTGATGCGACGGATGTACTCTCCAAGCTCCCCCCTTATCTTCAGCCGCCCGTCTCCAGAGAACGACCACAGCACAGCGTAGATCAGATATTTCTGTGAAAAGATAGAAAGCAGTGATTGAGTTTAAAGTTTCTATAGAAACTTAAAAACACCACTTACAGGGAGAACAGAAAAGCAGAACATTACCTGCATGTATTTCTCCAGCTGATCGTTGGGCATGGGGAAGTCGGGGTGGTTGTTGTTGTAGAGGGCCACATTTCGGCAGGCCTGGTGCAGCATCGAGAAGAGGGAACCCAGGCAGCGCAGGCGGGTGAAGTCCATGATGTGCTCCATCTTTGAGGCGTGCTCGATGGCTTTGATCACCAGGCCTGTGGAGGTGAAGTACGGCTGCAGGATGGCGGCGGCATCTCGCTGGATCTAGTGGGGGGAAAAGACTATCAGTAAAGAAGAACAATAAATACATTTTATCTAATCGTGTACTTTCTTTATTTCAAATACCTGCAGCATCGGTGACGCAGTCTCTTCCTCATCATCCGTGCCCTTCCTCTGGCGCTGAGCTTCATCCTCTCCCTCGTCCAATGGGATGCTGCGTATGCGAGCCAGGAAGTGGTTGAAGATCATGTCGGTGCTGAGAACGTCCTCGCTGAACCAGACCATACCACAGCGAGACACGGTGGCCAGGGTGGCGTACTTCAGGTCCTGCACTTCAAACATCACACGTACCTGCAGAGCGAGAGACAAACTCGATGACTACAATCGGTTCAGTCGATTTACGGGATTAAAAACGGTGAGAGTGTCGTGCGCTCTTACGTTTGGCGGCAGGCTGAGACGCTCTCCATTGGGAAGGGTGAGCAGCTTGTTGTCATCCAGGACCGAGTTGAGATTTTCAACCCACTCAGGGTCGACGTCGCCGTCGAAGATGATCCACTGGCGCTTCTGCAGTTCACCTCGGACATTATCGATGATCCTTAAAAATTAAAAGAGAAATATTTTACATCCAAGTTGTATTCTTTAAAAGCAGACAAAGACAAACCAAGAAGACTCAGCGAGGTAACTTGTTTAAAGAACTCACTTCCTGAGGATGTGTGTGAACAAGCCGTCAGTCCATTCGCGGGTGTTGGGGTCCAGGGTTCCATACAGGTGGTCCTTGCTGATGGCTTTGGGGTCGATGATGTGGGCCACACCCTCGACACCCTCCAGCCTCTCCAGGGCCTTGAGGAGCACCCTCCACGCCATGGTCTTCCCGCTACCGGAGGGTCCCACCATCATCAGGCCGTGGTTGATCTGTGTGATCTGATACAGCTGGAGCACCTGGAAGAGAATGAATAATAAAGTGTCATTAAATCAGAGTGCAGACTCTCTTTGCAGCATCTTAAAGGCTTATATTTTTCCCACTTAAATGTAATATAAATCAAGTATCTCCTCTGAAAATAACTCTGTGAGTCATGACTGTCTACAATGGATACAATTTGTGCCAAGTTCTCTTCTGCTGTTGTCGCTCTTTTCCTTTATCTCCTCGTTTATTTTTATTTTAAAAAGCCTCTTTAACATCGAGGCCAGGGGACTACAGATGAAAAGTAGCGTTTTGGCTAATTCTGGCTTTTTCACCCAAGTATAATCATGTGTTTTATTAATTTGAACTGTCCCCTTCCTAAATAAACTGAAATGAATTGAATGTTCCTGAGAACAATCAGTATTTTTGGAGGGTAATTTAGCTACGTACCTTCTCCACCCACATGCTGCCCACATCGTCGCCGTCTCCGTAGGTGAGGTACATCTCGGCGCAGACCTTCTTCAGCTCCTCCCTCAGAGCGGTCATCTCTCCACGGTGGTACTGCACTCCGGGGAAGACATCCGACAGCAGGCTGAAGAGAAGAGGGATGTCCTCCGCCACCAGCTTGGGAACCATGGTCTCGCACACACTCTGGATCAGGATCTAAAGGAAAGAAAGACACAGACGGAGTGAGGTAACTTTTTATAATCCCCAAAGTTTGATTTTAGTTTGATTTGAAAATCAGAATCACCAGAGAATTCAAATTCAAATTATGTTTCATTTTCCATACCTCCTGTTCGGGAAGGTTTTCAGCGATGTCATTTTCATCTACAACTTCTCCGCGCTCCAGCTTCTCCCTCTTGATCCTCTGGATGCGCTCACGCTTGACATTACCAGCACTGATCAGCACGCTCTTCAGAGCTCGGAGACCAAAGTCGTAGTGACTCTGCGATGACAGCTGCTCGTCGCACAGCCTGAAATAACATCGATAATTAAACTTTAGAGACGACAGACCTCTTTTAAAAGTATCTGAAAAAGCCATGACACATTTTTTTTTTCTTTTTAAAACATCACATACTTGAAGAAGGGCACGATCTTCTTGGCGAGGATCTCGGCTGTGCGGAAACCCTGAGAGTAGAGCATGACCTGGGCGATGAGCTGGCGGTCGGGTTTGGTCATGGCCAAGCTGCGGAACAGCTTCTTCAGGTTATCGGGCAGGTTGGAGCGGCCGGCGTAGCCAGGGTTCATGGTGATGAAGATGGCCATGTCGGGGCTCACCTTCACCTGCTTGTTCAGGAGCTCTGTCATGACGGGCACACCTGAGGAAAGGACGGATGTTAACTGATGTTCTCTGGATTTTAAAAACGAAGAAAGACATTGACTTTTTTGAAAACCGATTTGTATTTCATTTCTCTTGTCAAAGCATTCTCACAAACATTATTACACCTATTTTTTTCTGCACATAAGATACATACTCCTGTCTCTGTTGGGGTTGCTGTGCTCCCTCAAGGCCACCTGGATGTACTGGACCTGCTGGGAGACGGCTGAGAGCATCCTCTCCTCCAGACGGTTAAACTCGTCGAAGCAGCCCCACGCTCCCACTTGACACAAACCTACAAAGATGCGACCCATGGCCTACAAAAAGGAACACAAGAAAATCATATTTTCATGAAATATAATCATATTTTTGTTCATTCAAAGTAAATGACAATCACACGATGTTACCCAGAATGTGAACACAGTTCTGTACCTGGAAGTCGAATGTCTCATCACAGTTGAAGACCAGGACAAAACGTCCCAGCTGGTGACCCAGAGCTTTCACTGACTCCGTCTTTCCCGTGCCAGCAGGACCTAGATGAAGGAAGAATTCAATTATTACACATTTAAATCTACATTTTCTTACATTCACCATCCTCATTATGTCTATGGGCCAAAAAGAAGTACCAAATGGTGAGCCTCCAAGGCGGGCCTCCAGAGCCTGGGTCATGGTGAGATAGCAGCGGTCTGTCAGAGGGGTCTGCACCAGCTTGTCTTGGACACCCAGATACTCGAAGCCGTAGTTGAACTTGGCGTTGGCCATCTGGATGGACAGCTGCTGCAGCACATCTGTCTGCTTGGGGTCGAAGTAGAAGCGCATCTGGCTGAGCCACTCGAAGGACTTGGGGTTGTCGATCTTGTTCTTGATGAGGGTTCTGGTCACATCACGCTGGTGCACCAGCTCGGTGATCTAAGATGAAGACGAGAATAAAAACAGAATGACTTTTTTATTTGATGTTGTCTTTAAAGAGTGTGCCTTTGAAATCAAATAATCCATAGTCCTCGTACCAGGTGCTCCAGTTTCCTCCTGCGGAGCGGAGGCTGCTCCATCAGCACGGTATCAGCCAGCACGTTGAGGGTGGCCTCCACGTTTGACAGCACTCCCTGCATGGGTGACATGTCTCCACCTCCAGAGATGGTGGTCAGAGCCGACTCGATGTTCTCAGACCAGGCAATCTGAGTGGACAGGACCACCAGCTGAGCCTGTGAAGAGAGGGAAACAAAATTAAATTAACACACTGCTTGAATCATTTTGTGTTGAATTGGGTGTAAAATGCTCTAAATTACCAACCTGGTAACGGTCAATCCAGTCGATGTACTGACTCAGATCCACGGCCGTGCCCTTGTTGAATCCAGTGACCTCTGTGACGGACTCGGCCAGCAGCTTGGCCAGCGTCACCCTCATCTCCTTCTCCACCAGCGTCAGCCACTCGTTGATCTTGGGATGCTTTGTGATGGAGACGGGTGTCTTGTAGAGAATCTCCTCGCCCTCGCGGGACGAGATCCCCAGCACCTCGGTGTTGTCCTCGTTGAGCAGGATGCTGGAAACGCCGGCAAACATCTTCTTGAAGTGCTTCTGCAGTTTGGCCACATTCTTGCTGTTGCCGATGATTTCCAGCAGGTCCTCATCTCCCACAAAGTAGAACCTGAATACAAAATAGTTAGGAAGTGCAAATCAGTAAAAAGTAATTTCAGATCTTTGACAAAAATCACAAACTTCTTTTACAACAATGTGCAGAACTGTTCCACTGTCATCTTCCTACCTGGGGAAGGAGGATCTTTCTCTCTCCAGGTATTCTCCAAGAGCTTTCTGGATCTTTCCCAGAAGGTCAGCCAGTCTCTCCAGAGACCGCTGCACTCCCTGTATGTTCAGCACGTCCATCACCAGAGGAGACTTTGACACCTTTTTCATCAGTGCCAAGAACTCTGTACTGATACTGCAGAAGAAAAGTGAAGAAGCATGTTTGAATACTTTTAAAAGGAAACATTGTTCAAGTAGTAACGTCATTTGTTGACATGAAGAGTAAAAATATGGGTTTTTCATTCACCTTTGGAATCTCTGGGTTTCAACAGGCAGCAGATGTTTGATGTCAGCACTGCCGGTAAAGATGCCTTCCAGGTAGACCCAACGACGCTGAACATCGATCCAAACATCGAATAGAGCCATGATGCGATTCAGCTTGTCCTCCCAGCTCAGGGCGTCTTCCTCGAACACCTTGGACACGAGAACAAGAAAAGCATGGCGTTATGAAGTGATGAAATGCTTTCACTCTTAAATCTTTTTTTACAATTTAAGCAACATCTGTTTACCTTGTAGTATGGAGACAGCTTCATGGCAGACACGCTGTTAATGTGCTCTTTGACCTTGTTGAAGAGGTCGTCCCAGCCTCGGATCAGACGACACTTGTTCTGGTAGTTCACCAGGTCAAGCTCATACGAGTTCCAGACTTCACGGATCTGAGGACAAAAAAAAAAAACAACAGAATTATTATAAGAAGGGTCTGCAGAACAAACTCATTTTAAAATTGGTGAAACAAAAAATAGAATTCCTCCTCCTTCACCTGTTTAAGGAACTCCTCCAAAGCCATCTCTCCCTGGGCCACCAGGAGAACATCCTTCACCACCATCTCATTCTTCTGCAGATCCACATCCCAGACCTGTCCCAGGGTGAGCTCGGACGGGACCCAGTTCACATGCAAGCGCTTCATCAGCTGTTCCAATGGCGGTCCTTCAGAGCCTCCGATTTCAGCTCGATCACCAACATGTTCACCTGATGAGAGGGAAGATCAGGAGAAGGTAGTTTAATAATAACTATTTTTCAAACTTCTGGAGGGTCAAAGTGCAGGAAAAAAAAAAAATCTAAGAGCCGAACCTTCAGGTATCCTTTGAGCAGCCTCTGGACATACTCATAGGATGCATACTGTCTCAGTCTTGCTTGGAAGTTCTTCAGCTGGTTCAGAAGTGCATCCAGACTCTGACGAAGCTACAAACACAAACGTAATAGAAGTTACATGCAAAGAATTTTGGAAATAACAGTTGACATTCGGTGACCTACATGTCAGTGTTTGTGTGGATTTGTTACCTTGCGAGGCTGCACGGACACCCATGGCTGCTCTTTCATCTGGTCGATCTGCTCCCAGACCTTTGACAGCTCAGACCAAACCTCTTTCAGGTCGTGCAACTCCTCTAGCGCCACCTACAAGATAACAAGGAACAAGGAAATAAACATAAGCCAATATATTAATTTTATAAAGGAAATCGCTTAGGTTTTTCAACAACTCCTGTTCAAAGTGTCTTGGGGATATTTTATTTTGACTTATTTTCTGCACGTTTCCTGGCATTACCTGCACCCTCTCTTCGCTGCCACTGAGCAGCCCGGTGTCGGTGAGCTCCAGGGCCTCCTTGGCTCGGGCACACTTTTCTCTCTCATCCTTCAGACGGCCAAAGTTGCCCTCGTAGATGGTCAGAGACTGAAGGGCTTCCTCGGGACGCAGGTTACCCTGGTGACACAGATGACCAGCGTATTAAAAGGCACAATAGCACATCCTTTATATTTGCTCTACATAATGCAACAGAATGTGGGAACATTGTGAGATTGTATTTTCTCTTACAGCGACTGGTTTGGTCTTCTCCCAGTCACTGAGCAGGTCTGTGGTGCGGTTCTCCACGGCTTTGTCCTCCTGGACGATCTTCAGCTGGAGGTTGGCCACCTGCTGCTGGATGGCGGTGTCCTTGCGCTTCATGATGTCACTGAAGGCGCCCCATTCACCTTCGATGTTGTCAATGTAGAGCCAAGACGGAGGGAACTGGAACCTCTGCTTCTCCAGCAAACGCTGTCCATTTCTGAACAACTAGAGGTTAAAAGAAGAGAAAAGGAGAAGTGGATTAAAACCCTTTTTTTTCTGAAAGCAGGGAGAGATTCAAGAGAAAAATAGAGAATTTAGAGTACTTACGTCCACATTTTTCTCAAACTGTTTGATCTTGCGCTTCAGGGTCTGGACATATGTGATGAAGTTGACCGCATCCGAGGTGCTGGCCGTGTCCACAGAGTGTTGCTCCAGTTCTTGACGGGACTATTAAGCAAACAAAAGGTAGGTAAAATAAATAACTGTAGATCATCCTATCATGCAACTGAGGTTGATCTAAACTAATTTTCCTCCATCACACGATGCGTTACCTTGGAGATCTGGGAATGGAAGTCCTGCATGTTCTGTCCAAGCATCTGGCCAAACTTGCTGAGCACTTCTTTATGCCAGGAGTCGTACTTCAAGTTCACCTTGGACTGGACCTGTTACCAAAAGATGAAAGAATATTCAATGAAAAGCCCATAAAAATACAAAGCACATGTAAAGCACACTCCATTACAAGTTAAAATCTACATTCATTTTATTGAGATAAACATGCACAAACTTGTGCTTTTTTTAAAGACTATTATAGATTTTTTTTCAAGCAAAGCAAACCAGCACTGTTGATGATTATTACCTTGCCATAGTCGATGACCACGGGTCCAAACTCTTTGCGAGTCTCTGCGTTGTCAAAGGTGCCACGAGCTTTGCGGATTTGGACGAGCAGGGCCTGCCACTTGGTGAGGTCTTCACCCAGACGGTTGTAGATGTTCTCGGCCTGCATGTCCCACAAGCACTGGTACTGGAGCCACACCTGGACAGGGGCGACAAAGAATGGAGAAACTCAACGACAGCCAGAAAATGGACAGATTAGTATGATGGGAAAGGATGGCACATGTTTCACTTACCTTGACATATCGCTCCACCTCATTGACAATGTCTTCAACTGCATTGTAGGCCTCCTCTAAGGCTGCAGGGCCGTCGGGCATCCGGGTCAGAGCGTTTCTGTAGAACTTCTCTTCCTCTGACAGCTCGTAGTGGACGCCCACCTGGTGAGGAACAGTAGATTAGCAACAATAAAAAAAGAGAAACCATGTTTTGAAGATTCAGTCTGAGCTAGAATAAAATAAACTGAAGTATGGTTGGAGACTTAACGTGTGCATATCTCAGTGTAATCTGTATTTTAATCATGCCTCTGTAGAGTAAGTACATGAACTCTTTCTGTTTTCCGTTATTTTATTTTATGGAATAAAATCGAACATTGAAGAATATTTATTTAGATAACTAGTGTCTGAGTTATTTAAATCATTTTTTGGAGTGTTTTTGTTTTAACTATTTACATAGATATTGTTTGTTTTGCCTTGCTACCCATTTCCAAATCCAAAAATATATTTTTGGTACTAAATTCCAAAGTCTCCTGAGTTTTATTAAACTATACAGGAGACTTGCTGCCGACTCTGTTCAGACAACCCTACCTGGTATCTCTGGCTCTGGATCCTGGGCAGGGAGAGGATGACCATCTTCCAGGAAAACATCTCCTGGTAGAGCTTGTAGCGACAGTCTTCAATCGGTGGGTTCAGGTAGATCACCTGGTTGGTGATCCTCAGCTCGTGGATGACGTTCTGGGAGAAGAAAAGAACAGAATCATTTATTATAATTAGATTTCAGCCGTGTTAAGAAATACACAAAAGGCATAAGGCAACAACAGCTACCTTAATCTTGGGATCCCCTCCAGGTTTGTGGCTCACTTGCGGAGCCTCTGTGTCCATGTCCACATCGGCTTTGTCCTCTATCTGACCCCGCAGCACCTGGGTCCAGGCCTTGAGGCCGGCCTGCAGGCGCACTCCCAGGATACGTTCAATCTGTGAACGCAAAACACAACCAATCCGGTCAGAAAAATCCACTCTGCCACTCCACCGTCACATAATCCTGTCCTGACTGCTGATTGGTGGTGCCGACCTCAATGTCCAGCTTGTTGACCCAGATGGGGAGGTTGGAGTAGGAGTGGAGATTGAGGTCGTCCACAGCTTTCTGGACTCGATTGAGGATTTCGGAGAAGGTCTTGTGCTCGAACATGCAAGTGTCCAGCGAGCGGACTTCAAGGTCAATCTTCTCTCAATCAGTAAGAGATCGTCCACCTGGAAACAAAAAAAAACAGCAGAAAAAAAAAAGCTTAGAATGAACGCCTTAAGAATTCAGAAGGAATAAAAACATGGAGATCGCTCCTCTACACCGACCTTCTCTTGGAAGTTGAAGACCATCTCAGCCAGCCTCTGAACGTAAGGATCCAGCTTGTAGGATTCCCAGACCAGAGTGATTCCCTCGGTGACGAGAGCCTGCACCTCTTTCTTGAGGCCAGCGACCAGCAGGGAGATGGAGGACCTCTCCTCCACCTTCTCGCAGGTGCGCTCGTAGGTGCGCACGCTCTCGATCAAAGAGATGGCGAACGGGTACAGCTGGTTGGCCTGGTGGGCTTTGTTGACGATGGCCAGGGGGACGCGGAAGCTCAACCACTTGAGGTTGCGCACCTCTTTGGACAGGGTGATGATCTCGGGGAGGAAGTTGACTTTGAGCTTGAGCATGTTGCCGGTGCGACCGCGGGCGCGGGTGCTCTCGATCGTGAAGATGCGGCCTGACACGCCGAGGTTACGCTGCTGCACCTGAGTGACAAAAGAAAGAGGGAAACAAATATTTAAAAACAGGACAAAAACGATAATGTCATGGCAACACAAACTGAAACACACTCCGCTATGTTTATGACCACGAACGGCTCGTACCTTGCGAGCCCAGTCGTCAAAAATCTCTTGGGTGTTGAGTTTAGCCCGGAAGCTATCTCCGTCCTGCTTCAGCTTCAGCCCCTCCACATGGTTCTCCCAGCCCTTCCCCAGAACGTCCTCGACCCTCTTCATGTACGCGGTCAGCTGACGGTCGATCTGCTTGGCCCAGATGATGGAGCCGGACACGGGCGGCAGGTCTCGCACGTGGCTCATCTTGCACGCCTGACTCTGAGGATACTGCACCTTGAACTTGTCGTGCAGCGACTCGATGTCGTCCTTCACGCGCTGGATGAGCTGCGTCTGGTACTCCCGGATGGCGCCGCGGATGTGAGGACGCACGAAGAGGGCGTTGAAGCGGGAGAAGATGCGGAACATCTCGTTGGCGTTCTTAGCGGTTCCCAGCTGATCGCGCAGACGGGCGGTGATGCGGGTCTCCACGCGGTCGATGCGCTCGTCGTAGCGCTTCATGGCGGCCTCCCAGGCTTCGGTGCCTTCCTTTGAGACGTCGAGGCCGTCGACCTCTTTGACGTTCTCGTACGCCAGGTTGACCTCCTCGATGGCGTTGGCGTCAGCCGCGTCCAACAGAACTCCGGCCACCTTCATGTCCTGAGGCTCTACGGTCTCTCCAGGAGCGTGTTGTGGCACAGCAGACACCTTGAGAGGGAAACCAAGAACCATTTTTAATCTAGTGTCAATAAAACAAGAAATTATTTTCTTGCAACTTCTATAAGAAAACAACATTTCAACGATCATGAAAAGGTAAATAACAGCAGGAGATGCCATTAAACAAGATGTCAGACGTTACCTGAGGCCTCAGTACACGAACAATAACAGCCCTCAGCTGTTCATGCTGCCTCCTGAAGCGTCTCATGTGGTCCAGACGGGATTGGAGCTTCCTGTGCGCGGGGCTCAAACGCCACACCATCTTCAGGTTCTCCTCCCTCTTCCTCTTCACTATGTCCCTCAGAAGCACCTGCAGTTTCTCGTATTCATCCTCCCAAGTCTGGAACACCTCAAAGCACGCCACCATCACCTGCACACAGACATTTAAAAAGAAAAAAGACATTGTCAAATAATGTGTTCCTGGAGGAGAACAATAGAAATGTGTTTTTTTGCGCTTGAGAGCACACGATACACTGACCTTTTCAAATTCCTCATAGGCAACATGCATGAGTTTCCTGGTGCCCAACACCTTCAGCAGCTGGGCGCTCAGGTCCCTGGAGATGGCCTCCACCAGACGCAGAGCTCTCTGGATAGGGTACTTGGTGTTCCTGATCTTTTTCAGGTGAGTGAAGATAGCCATCAGAGCCTGGCGGATCTTATCGAGCTCCGAGGCAGAAAGCAGGTCGTTGAGCGGGAAGTCCTTCATCAGCGGGTTGTAGTCGTTGACGGTTTCCACAGCCTGTTTCAGACCTGTGAGAAGAATCACAATTTTACTATACTGTGTTCAAAATGCAACAGCAGAAGGTAAACAAGCCATTCAAACAAAAAAAAAAAAAAACACTCACCAGTGTCTGTGTCAAAGCTGACGGTGGCATGGAAACGTTTGCCGTGTTTGAGGATGTCCAGGGTGAGAAGAACCTCGGGGCTCTCTCTCTTCTCCTGGATCCTGTTCAGGGCTCTCTCCAGATTCAGCCAGAAACTGATCTCCTGCAGGGCTGTGCCCGAAGCCGGGTCACGATCAAGCTTTGTCACCTGGTAGGCAAAGCAGATGCAGGACACAAGTTAAACCCAGTGTTAAGAATATTAGAGAGAAATACATTTTATTCTGATGATTGTGCATGAAAGTTAGAATGTCTCGTACCTTCTGGATCTCCCTGATCCAGCGGTTGACCCCAGACTGCAGCTGGTTCAGGAAGGACGGGTCCTCCACTCTATCACCAAAATCGGTGACTTTGGGCTTCTCATTGCGTTCGTAGCACTGCTTGGCGATGTTTGTGATCGTGTTATGGATCTGCAGGCTGATCTCAGGAATCTCGATGTTCTGCTGCAGGTGGAGAAGTCCCATCTCCAGCTCGGCAATCTTTTTCTCCACTGAGGGAGCCATCTTATCCCCATCTCTGGAGGGTAAGGACAAGATTGTAACCCAGATCAACGTTAGTGTTCAGCCCTAATCCTAAATTTTAAATTCATTCAATACATTTTTTTAGGTTTACCTGTCTGCTTTGCCAGACTCGCGGATGTAAGACTTGAAGAACGGCGCGACGGCATTGCTGATGAACGAGTGGAGCGTCTCGTAAGGAGAATCCTCACTCAAGGTCAGAACTCTGACTTGGGTTGATATGGGCTTGTCTGCATCGATGACACCTGTCCTCTTGATCAAAGCCAAGCTGCCAGAGGAGAAGAGGGGAAACATGATCAAAGCTTGAAAATAGCAGAAGTGTTATTCAAAAGATTTGACTGCTGTACAGTAAATAAAAATAAAAAAACGAGAGAGAAGTTCGTCATTTTGATGCTTTTTTCAGAAGAAAGGAAAAGCATTAGATTCAACAATTACCTGTTGGACTTGAGCCCATAGTGAATGTCGATGCTGACATTGTAAGTGATGCACTCTTTCTCCTCCTCTCCTTCGTCTCCAACATCCTCTGTGGGAAGAACAAATACAATCTGAGTCACATCTGATCGGGCTGCACAAGTCATTAATTATAATATCCTATAATAGGCTAATAATTCATACATGTTTGCAACAGACGTGCACATCATATGCAATGACGCAGCTTGTGTGCTGAGGTTTTCTTTATCATGTAACTTACTGTTATGAGACTAGTGTTTAAAAAAAGTTATTTGGATGGCAGAAAGCAGACGAGGTTATCCAAGTATATTAAGATATGTCACAGGTGCAGTCTGGCATGTAATCTACCTCTGTTTATAAACTCCCTACAAGTGATGTCATTGCTTCTGGGAGGTGTTGGCCATTTTCAGAAACTGCACTCTCTGCATTGCAGCGTCAGAATTATTTTAAGAGCAATAACAGCATCAGGCAGGAGGGGGGGAAGGGCTGGGACTCCCAAAACCTCCAGGCTCAGTCTAAGCTGCTAGTCATGCGCAGAGTCAGGGGATCAAGGTTTCGCTCTCATTAAACATTAGTGAGGGCATGTGGATCAGGATTACTTTGCCTAGAGGAAACTGAAGAGAATGTGTTCTTTCACACAAACTGGTTCACATGACAAGGTGCAAAACATATTCCTGAGTTATTACTGAGGGTGCATTGTCTTGCCATTGCTAAGGAACTCTGTGTTGTCATGTAGACTCTGCTGTTCCTCTGTCCCCACCCTGTGTTGCGCAGTTAGCTTTCGATTTAGCCCCGTCATCGATGGAGACAGCAAGTCAGGCTAAACATTGTTATGGAGGAGCAGGTGTTATGACGAGAAATGCACACCTGCTGACAATTGCATGCACCTTGCAGGACAAAGCAAAACATGGCAGACACAATTTCTGCATCCACCCCTTAAAATAAAATGCTGCAGCCATCTCTTAAATTTACTCTACAGAGTCAAACACTGTTTTCAGGTCATATTCACACAGGCTAATGAAAATGCATATTCTACATAGTCTACAGAACTATAAGGACACTTAACCTTACTTAAGTATGAGCTTCACAAACTTTGGTATCACAGATATGCCCCCAGAAATTACATGTAGACCGTTTTCAAACACTTCCGCTTTGTGTTCAACAGGGATGCATTTCTCGACGTAACACCGGCAGCGACATAATAAAAAAATGTAAACTAGCAGGAATTCATAAAACCAGCTTTCTAACAACGAATTTAAAGCATTGGTTAAGTCGCAGACACTGAAACAACAGCCCATAGATTAAAAATGATTATAGATATCTGATATTTTGCAGTTAAATGTACCTTTTAGTGCACTTCTCTCAACCAGGATGGTGTGAAGTTGGGGATCGGCCAAAAATTTCCTCATCTGCTCCACTGCACTCTTCTCCTCCAGGGCGGTTTCCAGTGAGGCCGGGGCCTCGCCGCCATCTTCCAGGAGCAACGGAACCAATTTCCTGATGTGCTTCTGCAGCACCGACGTATCCGCTACCGTCTGAACGGCGGACACCTCCATCGTAGCGGAGTTGTCCTCCGTCCCCCCGCCGTCGGACATCCTTTCAGAGCCGTCACAGACGACCGGTCGCGGCGTGAAAGTGAACAAAGACACCGGGCTGACTCTTACTGACTGCTGAAGTGTCTACCGAGCTGGTCACAGGCCGACTGTCGCTGTCAAAACGCCGCAGAACCGTGCCCGTCAGATTTATCAACGCAATACATTATGGAACTTGTAGTTTATAGAAAAGCTATTGTGCGGGACTATGTCAGCGGGAAACTACAAATCCCAGATTGCAGTTGTAAGATTTTTTTTTTTTTTCTCTCTTTCTGTGTTTTAACGTTCATGACCGACAGGGGGAGGAAGGGAGTTGTCTGCAATGATGCAGCTAAAAACCAGACATCCTCCATAACTACTGCACAGATTTAACATTAAATCCATGAAATTAGACTGACTTTATTACGATGTTTGTGTTTGACTTTTTCACTCGGTATTGTTGATTTTATATGATTTAAAATAGAATATAGAATAGAATAGAATATAATTACTTTATTGATCCCAAACTGGGAAATTGTGGCGTTACAGCAGCAGGTTGTCCAAACACACAATATGAGCAAAAAACACAATATTAGCAAATTTAAACACAATATAATATTAAATATAAAGTAAATAATCACTAAAAAATATCAAAACTAAGAATGGGAATATATACAACCAGGATTTAACTAAGCATTACTAGTCTAAAATATTAGATTAAATGTAAATGTGCAAAAACAGAGTTGTAAATGGACAGTATTGACATAAGTTGAAGTGCATGAGTGTAGACATATCAGCAGAAACTATACAATATAACAGAGAGTAGACAGACAAATGAAGAGAACTTGAGTGCAGGGATAATTTGTAAATTTAAACATGTGCAGAACAGATTACAGTAAGGAATCTGAAAGAAATGAAAGAAAAGGTAAACAATCTGATTCTGTATTAACAGTTTTTAAGTTTTCTTCCTCGTTCTGTTAGTTCATGGATAAGTAGGTCTATTTTGAGAACATATTGTATGATGTGTTTGGTGTTATTGTGACGTAATCATAACGAGCAAATGAATCAAATTTGATTGAATGGATGACTACCTTTGCTACTTTAAATATTTGTAATTGTATTATTGACCTACACATTACTTGCCATTTTTATTGCTTTTAAACCTTGACAGAAAATATTAAATATTCATAACAACCCGCATGAACTGTTAGAATAACATTAACGTTACCCGGCACTGTGACTTTGGAAACAACAAATGACATAATAAGACAAAAAGAATACAAGTTAGGACAGTTTTTAATTTTATTCAATAAATACCAAGAAGTAAAACCTCATTTACAGTACATGTTAAAATCAAGATGTTATGAGCCTGCCTGTAAATACCTGATCCCTGAGTTTGACAGATGCATGGTCCAAGATTTTGCAGCATCATTTAAAAAAAACAAAAAACTAAGCTACACTTGACACACACTTCTACTACAGTATGGCTTATCAAATAGTTTATGGCTTTGATATTGTTAGCGACCTAAATTCAGAATGTAGCAAAGTTCGTTCAAGTTTGAGATACAGTATATTATACCTCTGGAGAAGCCTGAGAGAAACACCATTCATATGAAAGTAAATAAATAATGTAGAGCGCAAACTGAATTAACAAGAGCAAACAAGATCTGCATTTCTCTGAATCTACCCGATATCAGCAGGCACACATCTTATTGTAACATTAAGGAAGTTTACATATACAACAGCATTTACCCACACTTGAGGCTGTTGCACTAGCATCAAATGCAGCATGACTTTACATTTATTCAGCCCTGAGTAGATTCTAATGTATCTAAGGTGCTAACAGACGAGTACATGCACACTGGAACTCCTCTTATCAAAGTCCTACTTTGCAGTCGAGGGAAAATCAATGTCGAGGTCTGCCTCACAAAATGAAACTGAAGGCTTTTTCTGTGGCTCCTCATGAGCCCAGTCAAATGTGTTCTCAGTTCATAGGTTATATTCTATCAGTATATGCCTTCTTGTTCTGTCACTGTACAAAGCTTTCATCATCTCACCGAGTAAAGAAAGAGAAAAAAAAGAAAAATGGCAGTAGTCCATGACCCGTAGGTAACTCAGTCTTCCTCAGGGAACTTGAATTTTGCATAGACGATGAGCATGACTATGGACATGAGGACACACAATGATCCAATCACAAGGTAGGCAATGCCCAGGAACTCATTCTTTCCCCCCATCCAGGACACATTGCTGAACACCACCTTCTTCCTCCCGTCAAAGCTCAGGACAGGATAGTCTGGGGGACAAAAAGTCAAGGATATATAACAACAAAATAATGGTAAACAAAAATATTTAACCTAGTACCAATACTCCAATTTGAAACAAAGATACTGTTTATCTTTATACAACAATTATGTATTTAAAAATATATATAAAATCAAAAATAGGCCTTAAAGGTCACTTATTATGCAAAATACACTTCATGTTTCTCTAACTCTTATATGCGTGCCTAGTCTCTCAGTCCTCTCTGTCTTCTGCCTGCTCCTCTTTTCAGAAAACGTGTGCTCAAATACAGGATCAGAGTGGATTTAGAACAAGAAACTTCACAGACATGTTTTGGGGAGCTCTGAGACTTATTTAAACTGGTTGAGAATAGAATAATATGTGACCTTTAAGCGGACATGCCCATTTTATTGATTCTGTTTTCCTGTGATAACAAGTCAAACAGAAAAAAATAGGCTGTGATAGGCCAGGCTACGACATGCCATGCCTTGGGCTTTTGCAACTTTGGGTCGACAAAACAACCAGAAATTACTCGTTACCACAGAAAAAAAAAGGAGAAGATAAAATCGCAGGAGAAATCGTAAAAAACATGAATATTGCATGTGCATCAGTGACTTAAACTTGGAAACACTGTAGATTTGTCCTTTAAGTTGAACTTTGTTCCAAGTCATAAGAACATAAGAGCTAAAAAGCTTCAGGTAGGCAGCAACCAACCCCGTGATTAAGAATTTGTGTAGCTTATTTACTTATGTCCGAAAAATTTGCCTGCTTTATTCTTCATCTAAAAGAAACTCCTGAGTCACTGCGCCCTTATAAAAACACAACCACACCCAACCGGTAAAACAGGTTGGACTAAAGCTGCTGTTGTTGAAATAGGACACAAAACATGTGCACAATGTGATGGCTGACCTTGTTAAGCCGATATCTTTTCATGTGGAGCGACAAAAGGATTTGTTTAAAGAAAACTACCTTAAGATGAGGCTTATTTTACAGAGTTATGCTGCATTGTTTTTCTCATTCCTAACACATGGCAAAGGTCATTCTCATAACAATGTCAAAAGTAGTGTTGTAGTCAAAACCTCACTGACTGAGAGCAAGACATACCTGAGACGAGACCAAGACATTTAGGGATCGAGACAAAGTCAAGACCATAAATATTAATGAAAAATCATGAACTTGTTTGCAGCGGGATGTCACTCACTTAGTCCCTAACACAGGGAAGGTTATGGCCGTAACCGGGGGATACAAATCAAACTACAAATCAATTGAAGTTATTTGATCTTTTAGAAAGAGGCGTTTAACTTCTAATCACAGTAATGACTCTGAAAAATCACCTATCAGTGGTGGTCTTAACCGTTCTTGATTTAATCTGAGACAGAGACAAGACCAAGTAAAAATGCTTTCCATTCTGAGATGAGAACTTAAAAAAAAAAAAAAAAAAGTGGTCTCAAGACCGGTCTTTAAAACAAAACAGGTTTCGAGTAGTGCAACACTAGTCAAAAGATGCACATTAAAACAGATGCATTTAAATATCTTATCTCCCCGCGTAAGTGGAGGGATAATGTTGTATGCTGAATGAAGTTTAATTCTCTCTTACTAAAATTAAACATATTTTGAAACAAATTCTGTTTACTTGTCTTTCATTAAACCAATCGCTCCATATTCACACTTCAACTTTCAGAAATTCAACTTTAGAGTGATATTGGCAAGATATTTGATAACTCAATCTGTGAGACATATGATTCAGAGTACATTATAATCATGTGAATATGTCAAACAATGCTTATTTTGGCTTTTGCCTGTTTTTCTTTGGTGTCCAGATGCCTGGATTTAAATAAAATAAAACATAGTACTCCTGTTAAATAAGACTTCCCTCCATCATCCCACACTCGGTCACCAGTTAAAGGATACTGTAGGCAATCTGAAGGGAATAGTTTCCGGCGGGCAGACCCGATGCGTAATCGCCCTCTGTGATTCTCCGATACAGCTTTCTGAAATCAGGCAGGGCTGCTGTCCTCATCCACACCAGAAAATCCTGATTGATGAAGCCGTTGTTTGAGGTGTCTTTTGTGTCCAACTCATAAGCAGCCTGGGGCCAAGACGGAGGTTTCACAGTACCTGCAAGTCAAAACTTTCAGCGTGATTTTTCAAACATAACAATCGAATGTGATGTCATCTAAAAAGTCAGACCCAGAACTCGTCATGAAACACACTCAGCTGGGCCGCCAAGGATAGCCTAGAGGTTATGTTGAGCGCCCCATGTACAGAGGCTATAGACCTCATCACAACCGCCGTGGGTTTGAATCCCAACTCCACCTTTTGTTGCATGTCATTCCCCTCTCCCACCTCTCAAACATTTCCTGTCTCTCTTTATCTAATAAGAGCAAAAAAAACCCAAAAAGATTTAAAAAAAATTAAAAAAGGAAAAAGAAATGCAATCTGCTAAGAAGTCCTAATCAAACAGAGGACAGCAAGCTTTTGTAAATTCAAATCTAGATATTACCGTTGAATGCATTCCTCAGGGGTGTGACAGAGGGGTTCCTGTATTTGGTGTTGTAATCCGTCCACCAAGCGATCCCTTTTCCATCCAGTGGCACCTCCTTCTTCTGCCCGTTGACAAGCTGAAACAGCTGGAAGGTGTCTTTGCAACAAAAAAAAAGCAAACACAAAAAGGACTGACGATCAATACTCGTTAGAAAGAACATGAACAACAAAAACCAAGACGTTCATTTTGACAGGTCTTTACATACCATTGAACATGCTGTTCGCTATAGCTCCACATGGAACAATCGGTTTGTTTCTGTCATTCTGGAAGGGGAAACAGGCGTCGTCGGGATTCTGCAAGAGAAACAAAAATGTTGTAATTTTCCATACAAATGTTTAAAAAAAAAGAGGACACATGGATTCAGTTTTCCCTTGAAGGCACTGTGTGTGTGTGTGTGTGTGTGTATGTTTTTTGCACCATAAAAGTTTCTTGTGTTTTGACTCACAGTGAAGTAATCCAGGTCTCCTGTCAGCTGGTTATAATCTATGGACACACTGTACTTCCTCTGGTTCTGGAAGTAGTTGGACAGACCATAATAGAAGAACACAGGCCCCTGTGGATGAAAAGAGAATCGCAGAAACACAACCAAGAGGGGTCAGATCCACGAGTTCCACTCTGCTTTTAAAACTCCAATGTGTTAATTTGATATTTGTATGCAACCTTAAAGAGACTGTCGATGTCGAAGTTCATCACACAGTCACATTTTTTGCCAGTTTGATCTGAGCACTTGAAGCAGGGTGAGGATTGCTCGACACCGGTGTAGTCAATCTGTGAAGGGAGAAAAACAAAAGGTTATTATTCATTTTTGCATTATTGATGGCTACAACGACTCCAGTGAGTGTTACTGACACCACACCTTTTTCAAATCAAGAACAGAATATCCCTTACACAAGTTAAGTCTATAAGTAGACAGAGGAGGGACTCTAGGAAAAAAAAAAACAGAATCATTTTAATGTTTGCTTTAGGTGTGTTTTCTTCTCCCGTATTTTTATTGTCTTGCTTCCTCTCTTTTTTTTGCTGGTGATATTTTGAGTCGCTACCCTCAGCATGACTCCTCTCTGACTTGTGTTTTATGGTCACGGGTCTTACCTCCAACACCTGGATGCTCTGGGAAGTGACAAAGAGGGCGACGCCGATGCCGATGAACACCAGGCCGATGCTGACAAACCCTGGGATGACGATACCAGCTGAGAGCATGGGCTGCCATGCTGGGAGCCTCTGCTGAGTGTAGGCTGTGTTGTCAGGCCGGTTCACTAACTCCTTCACTTCCTTCACCATTTTGTTTTGGGGGGCTGCTCTGTTGGACAGATTGTTAATCAAGTCACCAGTTTGCACTTGTTTGCAGCATGTCCTTAACATTACTTTATGTTTATGTTATAACACCAACATGTATTAAAAAAAAACTCTTTCTATCTTAAGGGAAAATCCATTATTCTCCTTACTCTTAAGGCTCACCCATTCCTTTTCCTCAAAGCTTTTTCTACGACGTGTCAACTCATAGTTTGAGTAAATGTATAAAGTTGTAGCAGCTTAACCACTTAATATAAATATTAAAAGTTCTATGTACGCAATCCAAACCATAATATATATATATGTGTGTTAATATATAACACAAAGGATCTTACAAATGTAAATATCTGCAGCACCCATATTTGCCCCGTGGCCAAATACAAACAGTAGGATTGACGTTTTACCTTAAATATTAACCCTCACTTTTTATAAGAAGTTAGGAGTTAGGCATAAACATATAAACTCTCGATTGTAATCAAAGTTTGAGGTGTTACTTACACACAGCTGCCTCAAAATGGAGAAACAAAGGAGTCAAACAAACATCGGTATGCTTCCTTGAGTATTAGGTGCGACGGGGAAGCTCACCTTTACCTGTCTACCCCCCCACCTCACCTCCTGCACATCCTGTTCTTCACGCAGCCTGACGTCACATCGATAAAAGATTAACAAAGAGATTGTTTGGTTTCCTCACAAACCTTGAAAACCGAGATAAATAAGGCTGATATTTTCCTGATTCTTAAAAAAAAAACCTCATACTTCAAAATAATTACGTTTTAAAAAGCACTGCGAATGAGAAAACTTAATAAAAAAGTAGAATAGGAGGAGTTTTGATTCTCCGCCCCCTTTTTTGATTGACAGTTAGTTAAGCCAATCGTTTGACTTAGGGGTATTGGGTAACACGCTCGATCCACCAATCACAAAGAAGTTAATTGAAAGGAACCCTGCGACTGTGCCGTCTTTGTGTTGACATCTTCGGAGGTTTGAGAGGTAACGTTTATATTTTCTAAACTAAATATCTATCTGTATTAATGTAGACAACGCTTCCTGAAGAGGGGAAGATTGCCTCTAAATTCCACATACCGTTTATCAACTCGGACCCTTTTGTTTAGCACAATTGGCCCTTTTTTCTTTTCCCTTCGCACCTGCTCCTTCGCTACAGTTGGTGTTAGCTAGCTCTCATTGTTAGCTTTGTTAGCTGCCATGGGGCGGTTGTTTTGGATACAATAAAAAAAACAGACTCGAATATACATTTTCAGTGCACGTTGTCTCCCAGCATATCCAACGGACTCGTTATTTTATTACCATGTGCTGTGGGGAAGCCGCTGTCATGAAGAATCCGCTATCTAACGCGAGCTAACGGTGTAGCCTTGTTAGCTTGCAGCAGCTAACTGGCCGAGCTCAGGTTGCTAAGGCGACACAAAGGGGTTTCTGGAAGTAGGCTGTTTATCCTCTGAATATTACATTAAACATCAGGGATTTTTAATGCTACATTATTGACCTTTTTCTTGAGTGGGATCTCTGCTTTTGCAGTATCAGGGCATGTGCAAGCTTTGACAAACAAGGGAGCTTGCTGTGCTTTACTAAACATGATGCAAAAGTCTTGAGTGTTATCAGAGCACAACAACTACATGTTTTACAAAAATTACAATTTGTAACAATTTACAATATTTCTGGTTCTGTCTTCATTTCTTAGTGTTTGAATGGATATTACCAGGTGCACGGAGAAATGGGTAAAACAAGACAAGATTACTGTAAACCATGGCGCTCTCATTTCATAAATCATGACATTCATGCACAATGTGTTACTGAAATCAATTCAGATTGTGGTAGAGCATCTCCTCCAGCTGTCCAGTATATGATGGGGGTGTTAACTCTATGGCAGGTGCATTCAGTGCCCCCCTAAAGTAAAGTGATCAGCCAATTTTACCTAAATTAATTCAGTAGTTTGACATTTGTAAGTCACTGGAATTTACCATGAAATATATCAAGTTTTTAAGATATATCGATATATTTTCAAACAAGATGTAGGGTAAGACAATATTGTTAATATGGATATAGTTTATGTTGCATTAAAATAACGTTACAGAGGTGCCAGGTCATCTTTTTGTCATCTCACTGGTGATGACTGACTGTCTGTCCCTCTTCACCCTGCTCCTCCTCTCTCTCTCTTTTATTGGATTTAAGGAACATTTTTATTTTATTATATTACTTTATAAATTCACAAACAGGTAGTTTATTTTTCCATGTGTTTTCACTGTTAATAAAATACATATCCATATATATTGAGTATCGCCATTCAGCTAAACAATATCGAGATGTGAGTTTTGGTCCATATCGCCCAGCCCTAGCCTGAATGTGAATGTTTTATATCAGTTGATGGATATAATTAAATACCAATGTGTGTAATATTTTGTATTCTCAGAACCTCAAACCCAGGAAGGAGGTACACAACCATTCTTTTTTTTCTTTTAGTTGATTGCGCTTAGTTTGCACAATTCACATTTCATCATATTCATCTTTTCCTTAGGAGTGTTTTATTTTGTATTTTCTAACATTAACTAGTTTGAGCATTTACGTTTTAACCATTTCACTTAAAAGAGGATTCCATCTTGTGCTGTTGTATACCACCATTTAGATTTTTCTCTTTTTTTTCCCCTTTCTTCAGGAGAGGCCTCCAACATCCTCCATGATGCTGTCAAGCAAGAAGTCAGACGCTGGCTCCTCTTCCTCCTCCACCTCATCTTCTGCAGGAGCAGCAGGAGGTGATAGGGCTCCGGTTTCTGATGCCCAGACTGGTCCTTCAGGATCAGCGGCAGGCCCTATGGATGTAAAGAAAAAAGAGAGGTCTTCCCCTAGTGGGGAACCTGGTGGAGCCCCTTTGCCCCACCATGGGGGGCCTGGGGGGGCAGACCAAGACGCAGCTGAAGTTCGAAGAACGAGTCGTCGCAAGCGAGCGAAAGTAAGCATCAAATGGTTGTATTTCCTCCCTCTACCTTGAGGGAGGAGAAGATTTCTGCAGATAATTGAATAAATAAAAATTAAACAAAAGTTAGTTTTACCTGGCAGAAATTTGTTTCATACAAAGTGAATACATGTGGCATCATTTGAACTAATTTCTCCTTGTCTTTGCAGAGACGTTTTTCAAGATACTTGGGCCTTTCTCCCAAAAGAGATATTTCCACCTTAATGTAACGTGGGATCACAAAAGCCAACCATTTACCGTTACGTTGGTTTTAATGTTGCTTTTATTGTGCCTACCGTTGCAGGTGGAGTACCGCGAGATGGACGAAAGCCTGGCCAATCTGTCGGAAGACGAATACTACTCTGAGGAGGAGAGAAACGCCAAGGCGGAGAAAGAGAGGAAGCAGGTCATCCCGCCTCCAGCGCCACCAGTCGAGGAAGAGAATGACAGTGAGCCAGAAGAACCTTCTGGTGAGAAATTCAAGTTGTCCAAGTAGTAACAGGAAACTTCTGCACGATCAAAAAATGTCTCTCTCTCCTGTCTTTGATTTCAATTCATAATTCCCAACACATGAAAGCTGTTCTTGGTGGTCTTCACATGATCTTGCGTAACATTCAAAGCTGTTGTTATTGCAGTGATTTAGTTTGTTTATTTGTAGGTGTAGAGGGAGCTGCTTTCCAGAGCCGTCTGCCTCATGACCGTATGACATCCCAGGAAGCCGCCTGCTTCCCGGACATCATCAGCGGACCCCAGCAGACGCAGAAGGTTTTCCTCTACATACGCAATCGTACGGTTAGTGCTTTTTAAGTGCATTACTTTATGTTAAAAAATTAAAGATTCAATAATTAATTTTTTTATCAGCACATAATAATTTACTTTTACCTCATGCAGCTCCAACTGTGGCTGGACAACCCGAAGATCCAGCTGACCTTTGAAGCAACAGCACAGCAGCTTGAAGCTCCATACAACAGTGAGAACTAAAATTTGAATTATTTCCTACATACATTTTTCCTCAAAGGTCACAACCATTCAGGAATTATGTGACGACGTTCTCTTTTCAGGTGATGCTGTGCTGGTCCACAGGATACACAGCTACCTAGAAAGGCACGGTCTCATTAACTTTGGTATCTACAAGAGAGTCAAGCCTCTACCCAGTGAGTTCACTTCATTTAAACACAAAAAGTTACTGTGCTGATGTGTTCTGATAGCTACTGTTGGTGGAGTAGTCAGTGTATTGATTATATCCAGTGAACTCACCTCTTGCTTGTTGTTGCAGCTAAAAAGACCGGGAAGGTTATAGTCATTGGCGGAGGTGTTTCTGGGTTAGCAGCAGCCAGGCAGCTACAGAGCTTCGGGATGGATGTTACTGTATTGGAGGCCAGGGTAGGTCTCCAGCAGGTTTTCTATTCTTCTGTCGTGTAACGCCAGTCTGTTATTTGTATGCATCATTTAGTGATTGTATAAAACTTGTTTAATTTTCATAGTAGACACAGAGATAAGTGCACTAAATGCTGTATGGTATACATGTGTTTTTGAAGGGTTACCATGACAACCAAGTGAATAAAGTAAACCTACTTTGCTTTTTATAGTTCTGTGTTTACAGGTGCCAGATGTTTGCCATGTCAGCGTCAACATTTTTTCTTAATCTTCTCCTTCAGGACCGTGTTGGAGGCAGAGTGGCCACATTCAGGAAGGGCAACTATGTAGCCGATCTGGGTGCCATGGTGGTAACAGGCCTAGGTGAGATCCAGACTCAAATGTATTTCATGTCAAAGCTTAAGGAAATCACAACATTAAGACCATGTATCCTTAAACCCTGCAGCCTAATCCTGTGCTTTTAGGATGCAGGTTTTTAGAATGTGAGTGCTTATTCTGAATAAAACATGATTTGAGGCTAAGACAGTTGTGGTGTTTTCACAAATTCAAATTAACTCGTGAATATTTTCAGAAATAATTTGGATGAAAATTGCCGGATTTTTCATCCCAACATTACACAAAATGTTTCCTTCCAACCCCGTCGTAAAATGTCACCGTGCAGTTGGGCTGAGCTGATTTGTAAACACATGGCAACATTCACAAAAAGAGCGAGCAGCGATGAGGATGTTTATGTCATGTGACAGTTTTTGGGGTCAGGCTGTCCTGAAATGAAATGAGTGCATGTTTGAAAACAGCTTCAGAAAGGGGAGGAGTGACTACTGACTCTGCTTTTACTTAAACCCACCAGTAGATGGTGTCGGTGTCCATGTGTGTGCAGCCATGATCAATTGTGTGTGTGCGCTTGTGTTATTGCCAGGAGGGAATCCCATGGCAGTGATCAGTAAGCAGGTCAACATGGAGCTGGCAAAGATCAAACAGAAGTGTCCGCTGTATGAAGCCAACGGCCAAGCTGTGAGTAAAACGGATCATTCTGAATCAGTAACCTGACTTATCTGCCATCGCCCTGTCATAGGCAGTATTCTCAAGTTACCTTGTTAGCAATAAATATGCTTTGTATTTATAAACATGAGTGTTCTGACTGATTTCTGCAAATAAATCTTGGTTTTCTTGTGACGCAAATAATTAACTTCACTGCCTGATGGATTGTAAGAGTCTCATGCTGACATTTTTAGATGTGCATTAGAATAAGTTCACATACAAACATCTACCCTCGAGAAAAAAACATCAGTCACAGCAGTGTGGCTGCAGCTGCATTAGATGTATGTATCCAAATGACATTTAAGAAAACCAGGACCTGATGTTGTTTACTTCCTTAAATAGAAGATGTTTATGCACAACAGTTTCCTCTAGTGTAGATGTACTTCTGTGTCTGATTAAATAGCTATTCTTAAAGCCTGTTGTTGTCCTGAGGCAGTAATCTGGTTTTCCATGAGCCACAAAAACACAATGAGCGGTGGATTCGCTTAAGTGCGTACCCTCGCGTGTCATCAACAACAGCTCCAGTTCCCTTCAGAACTGAAAACAGATATAACCATAATGCAATTTACATTTCAAGTAAACAGTGTTATCCCCGCTCATGTTTGTTTCCGACCATCAAGAGGCAGCGACAGTAGTAGGATGTTTAGGTTCACGTTCAGGGCACTTCCACTGCTTGACCACGGGGCTCCTGGAGCATCTGCATCATGTGTACATGGTTTCCTCTACTGCAGCAAAAGGCAAACTCGGTGTCATGTGTTTTACTGTTGAGCAAAGCTGTTTGAGGTCAAAGTTGAGATGACTAAATATGTTCTCTCTCCCTCTCTCTCCCTCATTCCCCCCCTTTTTTCTTCTTTTCATGTTCCATGTTCATCCCTTCATGAACCACTAAAGGGGGAACGGTGCACAAGCGTAAGTATCATTTCTGCCTCTTGAGTCTGCCATGCTTTTTAAACTCTTAATATTTCTGTGTGACTGACTTCCTGTGTCCTGCATGTGTCCAGGTGCCAAAAGAAAAGGACGAGATGGTGGAGCAAGAGTTCAACAGATTACTGGAGGCCACCTCCTACCTCAGCCACCAGCTGGACTTCAACTTCCTCAACAACAAACCTGTTTCTCTGGGACAGGCCCTGGAGGTGGTCATACAGTGAGTACGATGCAGACTACATGAACGCAAACACACAGGAGAGGGGGGGGCAGATTTATCATGCACATGTGTACCTAAAGAAGAGATGCATAGAGATGACTACAAAACCTCACATCTTGTGTGTGTATGTGTTGCAGGCTGCAGGAGAAGCATGTTAAAGATGAACAAATAGAACACTGGAAGAAGATTGTTAAGACTCAGGAAGAGCTCAGGGATCTTCTCAACAAGGTGAGCACAATATTCACAGCAGTATTACTACATTCATTTCTTAATGCTACAGAAATGCCGATGCCAGAGTTTAGAACATTATGACAACTTTGTGATGTGTCAAATTTCATCCAAGCAAAACACATTTTTCTTGTTGTTTTGTCCGATGGGTTAAAAAAAATAAAGTTAAAGTTTCCAGTTTCCCTCTCTTTTTATCTCCAAGAAGCTCATGGTGTTCCTCTCTTTTGTCTGACTCTAGATGGTGACCACTAAGGAGCGGGTGAAGGAGCTTCATCAGCAGCACAAAGAGGCCAGTGAAGTCAAACCACCCAGAGATATCACAGCAGAGTTCCTAGTCAAGAGCAAGCACCGCGACCTCACAGCACTCTGCAAAGTGAGCTCCAACTCTTTTTTTTTTTTTTATGTATTTGTTCTGGAAAAATAAGACAAACATCATCAAAGGGTGACCTAAAAGAACAGTCCTCTAACATTTCCTACTGACATTGACAAGTTGTTGTCCTGACACTTTCATTATCCCTTCAGTTCCTTTGGAGCCTTGCAAAAAAAAAATGAGGCTGCAGGGGCCTCACGTCATTTATTCAAAGCAGTTCTGTTTTAATGTTAAATCCTTCCAGCTGTGGTGTTGTGGCTGTAGCATAGTGTCTGTGTTTTTAGTTGCTGTAGACTTAACTCCCTTGACGCAATATTAGATTTCCTGGTTTTGATCAGTAGGTGAACCTGCAGGTCAGGAGGTTGTGGTCGTTTGAGGAGGGAAACTTTTGTTGTTTGTTTGTTTTAAATGCAGAAAGCAAAGATGAAATAATTGTATGAATATTACTAGACTAGGAAAAAAAAAAAGATATCTTCAGGTTTGATGCTTCACAGAATTTAATGCTGTTAGATCCAAGTCGACCAGACAGGCTGTGTTTAAGTGGTTTAACGCCACGGTGGGATGTATTATTAGAGCGAGCGCTGCTGTTTTATTTTCGGTGCGTATAAATCACTTCCACTGCTGCGATGTGTGTATTTTAGAAGGCGGCTCTAGTTGGTTTAAACACAGCTGGTGTCTGAACTGGATTTGTCTGCTACCCATGCGCTTACTCGGAAACCACTTCAAGGCTTTGAATCACTGTCTGATTGTCTTTATGTCTGCGGATGTTCACACACACTTTCAGTCAGAGCAGAGTGAGCGTTTACAGTGCGTGCGTGCGTGCGTGCGTGCGTGTGTGGGGGGGGGGGGGGGGGTGTTGTCATGGCATTCATGACCACATCATATAACAGGCAGGCCAACAAAAGGATAGCAGAGTCAGGACTTCTTTTGCTAGGATTTTTTCCAGTATTCAATCCATTTTTTTGTATTTTCCCACGTCAAATGGCGAGCTTGAAAGCATCATTAGGATGTTAAACATTTGTAGACTTGACTCAGGGAAGCCGTGTGTCCCGAGGCTTGACGTGCTAGGTGGTATGACCAGACTCTGTTGGTGCTATTGTGGTGAAGAGACGAACAGGTTGAGTCAGCCCTTCTTTTTAAGACTGCTTGTCCTTTTCCACATGACCTGAAAGCCTTTTGGGTGTTTACCTTGAACTCACACTGACACACACACACACAAGCATGTACCAGATGCTCACATGAAAACCAGTAGACATCACCCGCTCAAAGTCTGACAGCAGTTCAGTTGTAGAATATATAATAATATAATATATAAAATATGATATATAAACAAATAATACCTTTTAGTATAGTGTAAATGTTAGCACTATAGTGTAACATAAACAGAAAATGAAATCCTCTAAGGATCTTTCAATATCCCAACATGTTTCAATCCAGTTTTTCTCCTCTGTACATGTTTTCATTATATCACACGTTTCCTGCAGTGATAGCTTGATGGTGTAAGAACCTCCTGTGCTGTTCTGTTTTTGTCTCTGTGTAGGAGTACGATGAGCTGGTGGAGATGCAGGTCAAGCTGGAGGAGAAGCTGCAGGAGCTCGAGGCAAATCCACCAAGGTAACAAATCCTGAAAGTGGAACACAAGAGTGAAAAAAAGAAAACATTTCTCTGTGAACCGAGATAAGAAAAAGGTGCATGTGTTAGCAGTAATTTGAATACAGCACCAGAAAAAGAGAGAACGAGACTAGCTCAACCAGAATAAGTAAAACACAACGATAGCACATTTTAGCAGAAATTCTCTAGCCTTCATTTTTTTCGAGGAACAAATCTTTCAAATTATCGAGTAAAAGAAGCAGCTTGTTGCTCTGGTTGGATCAGTACATTTGCCCGTGATGTAACTGCGGATCTTCTTTTATTTATTGTTCTGATTCAGGAGCAATTATCACCTTAACGTCAGGTTGTCATTAAGGATTATGTAAATACTTCTCGTTGGAGCCCTGCAGCCCTTAGAGACCGGTGTTTACCTGTGTAGTCTTGTGGCGGACTTCCTTTTTTTTTTTTTTTACCTCATAGTTAATGTGATACGTTTAAATATATGTTTCTACATTTGCATCAGTTTGACTTGTCAGTTTGTGCATGAGTCAACATGTCGCTCCGATGTTTAAATATCTGTCAGTTTTCATCGACATGTCTCTTTCCCTTCCCTTCTTTCCCACAGTGATGTTTACCTATCATCCAGGGATCGGCAGATCCTCGACTGGCACTTTGCCCAACTTGGAGTTTGCCAACGCTACGCCCCTCTCCACCCTTTCTCTTAAGCATTGGGATCAGGTATGTACATGTACCCATTGGATTGTATAGTCCTGGTGTTTTAATGTAAAAGTCCCAGAGGGCCTCTTCAATCATATGCACTACTGTTGTCTTAGAAATGTAACTGTGCTACTGGGCTGAAAGTTCATAAATCATTCCACAGGACGATGACTTTGAGTTCACCGGCAGCCACCTGACAGTGAGGAACGGTTACTCTTGTGTTCCTGTGGCGCTGGCTGAAGGCCTGGACATCAAACTGAACACTGCAGTGCGCCAGGTTCGGTACACGGCTTCAGGTACGCGCACAGTGTGAAGTCTGTCGATCTCTTCACTGATGTTTTTTATGGATGCACAGTGAAAACAAGTTGTTCATCTGTTTACTCTGCAGGCTGTGAGGTGATAGCAGTCAACACCCGCTCCACCACCCAGACCTTCATATACAAGTGTGACGCCGTGTTGTGCACCCTGCCTCTCGGCGTGTTGAAGCAGCAGCCCCCTGCGGTGCAGTTTGTTCCCCCGCTGCCCGAGTGGAAGACGTCTGCCATTCAGAGGATGGGCTTCGGCAACCTCAACAAGGTTTTTACTATTTATTTTTATGAATGTGCGCATGTAGCTTCCTGCCTTTTTATCCTGTTGTCTCTAAGCGGTTCTCCAAACTGCAGGAGTTCATACTGATTTCTCCACATTCCATAAAACTGAAATATGTTAAGTCTGAATAGTCTGACATATAAGCTGGAAGTTAGAGATACAATCCTGCACAGCATACCAGTGTAAAAGCTCCTCTCTTCAGACTTCTAGTCAGGTCTTAAATCATGTATTGTGTTTCCAGCAGAACCCTCCTTCCTGTTTCTTTAGGGAGACCTCCTGCTGCAGTGTCCTCATGCTAGGAATTTGACCTTGACTTGTAGTTGTAGTCGTATCCCCTCCATGTTCATATATTGGATTTTCCATGTCCGCAGCATCCAGCATGAATAATCGCCCTCCCTCAGATATAGGATGGATTGAAAGTCTGTCAAGAGCAATATTTCTGCTCAGTATCGGAGGGGAGAGGTAGTCCCGGCCTGCTGGCGTGCGGATGAAAAGATGCTCATTGCCAGTATGTTTGAAATCGGATCAGAGTGCTCATCCTGCGCCACTCCCAAACCCACCAGCTCTTCTCTGTGTGTTGCCGAGCATCATCTGCATCAGAGTACTTTATCTTCTAAATCTGCTGCAGCACAGAGGAGAGAGTACTGCATTATTATGCAATCTGAGCTGCTACTAACAGCGTGCATCCAGCAGAGGGCGCCCTGCCATTCACACTTAGCCATAAGTTTTGCGGTGTTGGCAGTAAATGTGCTGAAGCTGAACTTCCCAGACAGTAGAGCTTTTGATTCAAATACACACTTTGATTGGTTTAGTGACTGTGTGTGTGTGTGTGTGTGTGTTTGTTCCTCCCTGTCTGAAGGTGGTGTTGTGTTTCGACCGGGTGTTCTGGGATCCCAGTGTCAACCTGTTTGGTCACGTCGGCTCCACCACAGCGAGTCGAGGCGAACTCTTCCTTTTCTGGAACCTCTACAAAGGTGAAAAAAAGAGATCCATACTGTTGTGGAAGATAAAACGATGCAGAAGGATATTTCTGCTGTTTGCTTTTCTAATACATCCTTAAAAAAGTCTCTGAAACAGAATGTGCCTTTTTTTTCTTCTTCTTTTTAGCGCCGATCTTACTCGCCCTGATGGCCGGTGAGGCGGCGGGCATCATGGAGAACATCAGCGATGATGTGATTGTCGGACGCTGCCTGGCCATTCTCAAAGGAATATTTGGAAGCAGCGCTGTGCCACAGGTACGAGAGTCGAGCCGGTGTCTGGTGTCTTTAGTTTGCATTCTACCACTGATTAAACCCCAGTCCACACACCACACTACATTATTTCTGAGTATGTTGTCCACATAGCTTTGAGTTCTCTTCAAATACGACTTCATCATGTTTGTTGTTTACAGAGAAGTAGTGGCGGTTTGTGTTTTTTAAGCTCCATCATTACAGTTTTCTCTGTTTTTTTCCCCCCACTACTTTATGTGGAATGTCAAATTGGTTCCTGAATTGACCCCTTACAACCAGCACGACTTTTACACAGCGAGCACATGTTAAGGGCCCTCAGAACTCGAGAGTCGCGTCCAAACCACCCGTCATAAATCATTTGCTTCTGGTTTCAAACGGGGCTCAAATCACACGCGCTGAGGCCGGCGTGTGGAACTGTTTGCCATCCAGCTGTTTACAGGTTTCCCTCGAATATATATCGCCGTGGAGTTTCCCCTAACAGTTTGTGTTGTTGTTTGTTGTCATGGCAGCCGAAAGAAACTGTGGTCACCCGTTGGCGTGCGGACCCCTGGGCGAGGGGCTCCTACTCGTACGTGGCGGCAGGTTCTTCGGGTAACGACTATGACCTGATGGCGCAGCCCATCACGCCCGGACCGGCTATTCCAGGAGCCTCACAGGTTAGTGTTGTTTATGTTATGTGTGTGAGAAGGCGAGGGCATGTCAGCCTGACGGTTATATTTAACCACGTTTTGGGCTGTTTGATGTCTCTCTGCTGATTGATGTGAATAAGTCATGATGCGTTCTGGCGGTATACTACCACATATTTTTTTCCCTTTGCACCAATCTCTCGTTTTCCTTTTCTGTTTTCTCTCTCACGACGGTCCTGCATCGCTCTTAATGTGTTTTTTCCTCTCCCCCCCTCTTAGCCTGTCCCTCGTCTCTTCTTCTCCGGGGAGCACACCATCAGGAACTACCCCGCCACAGTCCACGGCGCCCTGCTCAGCGGGCTCCGCGAGGCGGGACGTATCGCAGATCAGTTCCTGGGTGCCATGTACACACTCCCCCGACAAGCCACGCCCACAGCCGCCAGCAACCCTCCGCAGGCTCAGCCCACCCCAAGCGTGTGAAAATGACTCTCCCATTTTTTTTTTTTTTCCCTGCCAACTCTGGACTTTCACATCATTCATAGCAGTTTCTTTTTCTTTCAAGAAGTTTAACCATAAACTGTTATTTCTGTACGTGGAAATCTTTGAAGTCCCACACACAACTTTGGGTCTTTGCCTTTTCTCAAATAATGACACTGAGTATTTTGTGAAGTTGACACACACGTAATGGAGCCCATCAGACTTTTATTTAGGAATATAATCTACTGAGGTATAGAAAGTCTGGGCCCTGCTACAGGATGAATCAATCCAAATATTGTTACATGTAAATGTAATGACTCATGTGAGACTTCATAAATATACTAACCTAGCCTTAAAAAGAACAGAAGCATAGCATTTCATTTAAGAAATCTATTTATGTCCCCTGTCTAAAAAAAACGTAATGTGCACACATCGAGACATGTGAAAAAACACGATTTAAATCCACTAAAACTGTTCAGCCTGTCTAAGCTAAAGACGTTTCCCCTCTGCTGTCACTCAAAGAGGCCTCGTCTTGTTTGTCTTAAGGCTTAAAAACGTGGCTCTGTACTGTAGCGGTTTACCTCCTGAATTTATTTCTGACATTTAGGTTGCAGAGCGTAGTGAAAATAGTTTGAATTAAAAGGTAAAAAAAAAAAAGAAGAAAAGAGACAGATATACTGAAAGAATTGTGAATGTTTTGTTTTTTTGTTGCAATAGCAGTTTTAAGTATTTTATTATGGTTGTCATGGCGTCCTTTTTTTTTTTATATTGTCCTTTTTTTTTTGTTATTAAAAGAAGAGAGAAAGTTTGTCTTGGATCGTCGGTGTGTGTTTCTTCTTTGGAGTTTGAGCAGTGTGTGCAGGGTGACATCTTTCAGCTCGTGAATTCAGAACAAAGTACTTCCTGTCCTGCAATCGCGTGTACATGTTTGTTTGTTTTTCTGGACTTGCACATGCATGTTCAAAAGTAACATGTCCCGCTTCCACCATGACCCTCAAGTGACCCTGCTTCATTGCAGAGTTTGGCTGCTTCCCAGGGTCTGTGGTGCTGTGTGTGTGAGAGGGAGAGAGATAGATAGATGAGGGTCCCTGGCAGCAGCTCCTCATAGTGGGGGATCTGATGAATGAGAGGGGGGGGGGGGGATTAAAATGGTCAACCATGAGCTATGAGCTTCTCTGTGGAGTTGTATTTCAGGGCTCTGTGCCCCTCAGTTTCCATTCACTCTTTTGCGTCACACGCCTTGTTTTCCCCCTCAGAGATGTGGTTTATTATTATCCCGACCAGAGGAGATGTTTGATGTAACAACGGTCATTTGAGCTGAGGGTTTGCATGGCAGCACTCGAGTATTTTCACCTCCTCGGTAAACCAAAGGCAGCAGTGTGTGTGGCTGTAAACTGGCAGTCCATGTGGGCTTATAACTATTACGAAGAAACAAACCCTGATTGATTGATGGAGAGGCAGACATAAAAAGTGTTATGGGGGGGTTAGGAAGTCCTTTGGATGAGAGGCCGCAGCGTGTCTGAGCACATCTCATGTTATTCATAGGCGTGAGGTAGAATAAACACTCATACAACTACAAACACCTCCCACATACTCGTGTGTATTTCGGACATCATGCATATTCATCACTAACATGACGGATAAAAAACTAACCCTGCTGATTGGTTAGGTTGTGTCAGTCAAGTATTTTAGCCACTCTGAAAGCTTGACTGTAAACATGGAAGTGTTTATTGAGCATTTATAATCCCCAGAGGATGAATCCCACTTTACCTTTGGTGCCAAAAGGAAGTTGTTTTTTTTGTAAATTGCCTCATTGCAATCAAATTTTAAACTAATATTCATGTTCAGGGTGGCTCAAAGAGGTGGCAAGGGCCACGCTTGAAACCTGATTTTCATTTGCGATTTCCCTTGTCAAAGGCGGGACTTGATGTGTTAAATTTTGTATTTTTATTTATTTTTATTAATTTTCAAAGTTCACAACAGCGAGAAGGTTCCTAGTTTGAATCCAAAGCTGCTCGCAACTTTCTTTACATTTACATTTAAATTGTAACTTTGCACATATCTTCTTTTTTGAGTCCTTAGAGAATTAAGGACAATTAATATATAGTTTTTTTAATGTTAGAAAAAAAAACATATAAAAGGGAGTGTAAAATCTATTACATACTTAATTGTTGGTAGTTTATGCAGTTTTGATTAGTGGAGATAGAACGGGTGAACAAATACGATTTGTGTGTGCATGTGTTCACACAGGGTGGCCCGGCCATGTTGGGCTGGGCCACCCTGGTCAAAGAAGTCTGGATCTGGCCCTGTTCATGTTCCCCTTTGAAATCTTAAATGTCGACCAAATATCTGCAAAACTAGCAGCCATCAGTCCCATCAGCCTCAGCTGTACTGCTGCTCACAGCTGACGTGCTCAGGTATGATGGCAAGTATGTAAACATTATCCCACGTGATGTTAGCATTATCATTATGAGCATTGTTCACATGCTGATGTTAGCATTGGGCTCTCAGCACTGCTGGAACCTGATGGAGTCAGTAGCATGACTGATGAAAGTTTAATCAGCTTCTTGAAATTACATAAAATCCAGAAGTTCTTAATACAACAAGTTCAACAGGATGACTCCTCTTTGAATGATCACATCAACATCCCACATACTTTCCCCCTGACACCTGCTGTAGGCCGGTAAGGCTCTTTCTCACTCCTCCAACTTCCTCCTCCCCCTCCTCCTCCTCCTCCTCCTCCTACACCACACAGGCCTGCAGTGCCACACTGAGTCATTTCCATGGTTGACTTCACAGCACTAATTCAGGTCAGGCAGCGCTGAGGCTCAGGAGTACCAGGGTCCAAACAGGCACCGCTGTGTTCGAGCAGCACCTCCCCGCCTCTGAACTTAGGACAGATTAAAACCACACAGAGGCAGGAGACACATGTTAACCCCTGACTACAACCACTTTGTCTCATGGCACAAATTGACACCGAAAGATGTTGAACTTAAAGAGATGGTTCTTATTTTTCGAATGTCCTTATCGAGACGCGCAATATGAAAATGTTTTGATATCTTTGATTGAACTATGATTTTTTTAAATTGCCCAATGCCAAAGCAAGAAGTGTAGTTTTTCTTTTTTCTGCTTCATGGTCGTCTCCACCTGCACATAAAATGCATGCAGCTGAATTCAACATGTTGAGGCCTGTTCTCTGGAGCTGCAAAAAAACACTGCTGGGAAGTACAGGAAAACGCCAGACAGCTTGAGGTGAAATGAGTGAAAGGAAAATATTTGTTTCCAGAAGAAGTCTCCCAAGATGCCCTGAGAGCAAAAAAAAGTGACGGATCATAAAAGAGAGAAAAGATAAGAAAGAGGTGAAGTGTTGGTGATTTCCACGTGAAGTCAGATATTTAAAATGTGTCGATTACGGTGATTTTTATCTCAGCTTCATTTTGCAGGAGAAGAGAAAATGCTGGCTTTCACAAATCGAGGCGTTAACTGTGAAGGAGAAAAGCTGTACGTGCTGATTTTGCATTCCTCAACAGCTTGTGGTTTCCTCTTTCTACCTGACCAATTTGCCTCATTTGTCTTCCTGCTTATTTTGCATCCAGTGGACACACACACACACCACCCCACACACACACACACACACACACACCACCACACACAGAAAGGGTGTACCGCTATGAAATCACAACTCGCTGAGCTTGTTCATGCAAAAAAGCACTAGTAAGATATAACACACACACACACACACACACAGGATCCAACATGGACGCGTGTTACAAACAGCTTTGTATTTATTCTTTATTGGAATACATATGGGTTTTTTGCTGTACAGTTGGCAGCTTCGAGAGACCTACATGCAGAGTGCGCCAGACACAGAAAGGTTAAAACATGCAATATGGATTAAGTCTAAAAAAAAAAAAAAAAAAAAAAAAACTGGAGTAGAAGAAATCAAACAAAAACCCCCACAGCGTCTTTGCCGACATACAGAGAAGCAAAACTAAAATCATAAAAACCCTTTTGATGCGATTTCTTTACACACACAGTTTGTTTGACACCTCTGTGTGTCCTCTTCTTCTTCTGCACACAAAATAAAAACCCTCAGCAATAAACTAATGTTGATTGTACAGGCCGGAAGTTCTTGTGTCTGTGCATGTAAGAGAAATGAGATGTCATTTTTTTTAGTTCCTACTATATTATTCCTATAAGATTACTCGTGTGCGTTTATATATAGATATATATGTACACATGTGTTTCTGGAGCCTGCACACTTCTCTCTTTGGCAGCACTTACAAACATACAGCACAGAAGATGTACGAACCCTGAATTTATGAGCGAGGGAAGAACAGAGCAGGCCGGAGCACTGAGCACAAACACATGTTGAACCTCTCAGTTCTGCACACTGGCCTCTCCTCCGACTTGAAAAAAAAACCCGCACATAACTCTCATTGTTGGATGACTATGACACGAGCCCTGTCTCTCTGATCTGTTAGTGTGCAGCCCATGTCTCCAGGTCACGAGAAATGTCTTACATTAAAACAACAAACACACACAAAAAAAAAACACAGGAAGAAGAACTCTCCAGGAGTGTGAGAACAAACAAAAAAGATACATCAAAAAAAATATCATTTCTTAAAATCAGGATGGACAAATACTTAATATAGTTCAATAATAAGGCCCACTTTACAAAATTACAAGAGTTTCCTTAAATAAAAATCTATCCGATATATCGTCCAAAATAAGACATCTTTTTGAAATAAAAACATAGAAGAAGAAGTAAACAAAAAAAGAGACAACCCCTATAAAATGTTTGTTTTTTTCTCTCTCCTTATTTTTCAGCATCTTAGAGAGGCAGAGATCCATCAGCTCTGCCTCGGACTGTAAACTGGAAATACTGTGGAATGATTTTGGCACACTGTTAGAAGGCTGAGATGCAGGAACAACGGGGGGTTTGCATTCGCCAATTTCCTTTTCTGAACTGATGAGATGATTCTGAAAGACGGTGGTACATTCAGCGAACGGCTTCTGAGATACAGTTAAAGTACAATTCTGGTTCAAGAAAACAAAAAAAAAGAAGAAGGGGACTTTGTGACAGAGGGGACTAAGGGGGCATAAATCGTTTGAGGTCTTAAAGTTAAGTGCTGGTTAAGTGCAGATTATAGCCTACGACACCCACTGATACCAGGACCCCGACCTCACAATGGAGGCCTTTCAGAATTAAAAAAAAAAAGGGCCCGCTGCCCGACAACCTGGCCACGCTAATCTCCACTAAGTACATTCTAGTTCTACTTTACAACAAGGACAAAACAATGACTTGTCAATAACGGATGTTTATGCAAACACAGGCTGAGTTTAAGAGGTCAGAAGTTCACTCTTCAGTTTAGTTAGCGGGGGGAAACGGAAGCAGCATCATTTTTCTTTCTTCACTGCTCAGCACCTTTTGTGACGTTCATCGTTCACAGAAATGTCCCAAATATTCTGCTCTGATTCTCTGATTCAAGATCTATAATTCAGGAAGGAGGGGAACCAGCAAGAACTCTGATACCGAAGTCTTAAAATCTGTAAAATCATCACTTGATTCCTTGATGACCCATTACTACATTCTACTGTGTCGACACTTTGCACACTCTCGCGACCAATAAAATGTGAGTATTAATCTGCAGCCTCAAACAAACAGAGCTCAGCCAGGTTTTCAGTGGATGTTACAGCTGGGTGTTTGTGTTCTTTGGGGGGGGGGGGGGGGGGGGCGTTGTAAAAGAAGAACAGAAGTGTGCATAGCAGAGGATGGAGTTTCATTTTGCTGCGTTTTCTCTTTGAAGCC